TATCAACAGAGGAGTAGACTCTGGACTTCCTGCCTAGCAAAATATGTGTCCAGTCCCATGGTCGGCAAACTGCGGCTCTTTGGGCCCTTGAGTGTGGCTCTTCCACAAAATACCATGGCCTGGGCGAGTCTGTTTTGAAGAAGTGGCATTAGAAGAAGTTTAAGTTTAAAAAATTTGGCCCTCAGCTGAAACCGGTTTGGCTCAGTGGATAGAGTGTCGGCCTGCGGACTGAAAGGTCCCAGGTTCGATTCCGGTCAAGGGCACGTACCCTGATTGCGGGCACATCCCCAGTGGGGGGTGTGCAGGAGGCAGCTGATCGATGTTCCTCTCTCATCGATGTTCCTAACTCTTTATCCCTCTCCCTTCCTCTCTGCCTCTCTGTAGAAAATCAATAAAACACATTAGAAAAAGAAAAAGAAAAAAAGAATAGGCTAAGGGGTGGCCGGTGTGGGAAACAGTAGAGCATCCTTACATAAGCAGAAGAAAACGCCTTTTCAAAGAGAACCCATCTCCTGTGAGTTCCTGGGAGGAAGCAGAAGGATCCCTGCCCAACTGGGACCCCAGGCAGAGGGCAGAGGCCAGGAGAGTGGGGGGAAGGCCTGCTGGGTGGGGGCGAAGTTTGGCTCAGTCTGATGACACGGGGGCAGGACCGGCCAGAGAAGGTCAGGCCCCCATCCACAGGGTGCGAGACGTGGGCTTTCTCCTGGGGTGACAGGCACGGGGAGGACTCAAGCTGGGCCTGGCCCACGGGCCCGCTGACTCAGCACACTCCGCGTGAGTCACACTAAGCCCTTCGTGTGTTAACCGTAGTCTTTTCCTCTTCCCAGGCCCTCACTTTTCACGTGGCCTGGAGTCACTCAGACTTGGGTTCCACTCTCAGCTCTTCCTTCAGAAGCCTCCAGCACATCACCGTAAGACGGCATATACCCCCTCGTACAATGGGGTTGTGGGTCACCTGGTCAGTCATTCAACTTTCACCCTTGGCTTTCCATGCTTCTCCTTTCTGTCTAGTGGTACTTCTCTGCCTTCTTCACATCTTCCTCTTCCTGTATTTAAAAACCAGCCAAGTTGCCAAAACCGGTTTGGCTCAGTGGATAGAGCGTTGGCCTGCGTTGGCCTGCTGCGGACTGAAGCATCCCAGGTTCGATTCCGGTCGGGGGCATGTGCCTTGGTTGCGGGCACAGGCCCAGCAGGGGGTGTGCAAGAGGCAGCTGATCGATGATTCTCTTTCATCAATGTTTTTAACTCTCTATCCCTCTCTCTTCCTCTTTGTAAAAAAAAATCAATAAAAAGCATTTAAAAAAAAAACACACACATCCAAGTTGTTGGTGGGCGAGTGAATAAGCAGTACTTGGTGCAGCCATTTGGTGTAATGCTACTCAGCTGTCAGAGGGACGGAAGCCCTGACACACCACAATGTGAAGGAGCCTTGAGAGCATCGTGCCGAGCGAAAGAAGCCAGACACAAAGGCCACATGGCATGTGATCCCATTACATGAAATGTCCAGAACAGGCGACTTCACAGGGACAGAAGGCAGATGAGTACATGCCAGGGGCTGGGGGAGGAGGAATGAGGAGCAACTGCCAATAGATACGGGGTCTCCTTTAGGGGAGATGAAGATGTTTTGGAACAAGATAGAGGTGATGGTTGCGCTGAATGCCAGTGAACTCTACACTTTAAAAAGGAAACTGGTGTTGACTGGCCTGGTTCACCAGCAGGTCAGGGTCCAATTCCCAGTCAGGGCACATGCCCAGGTTGTGGGCATCATCCCCAGTGGGGGGCGTGCAGGAGGCAGCCAATCAATGATTCTCTCATCATTAATGTTTCTCTCTCCTCTTCTTCTCTGAAATTAATGAAGATGCCGAAATTGGTTTAGCTCAGTGGTAGAGTGTCGGTCTGTGGACTGAAATGTCCCAGGTTAGATTCCGGTCAGGGGCATGTGCATTGGTTGTGGGCACATCCCTGTAAGGGGTATGCAAAAGGCAGCTGGTCAATGTTTCTCTCTCATTGACAATTCTAGCTCTCTATCCCTCTCTCCTCCTCTCTGTAAAAAATCAATAAAAAAAAAATATATTTTTTTTTAAATAATAAAGATATATTTGAAAAAATTAATAAAAAGATAAGCGGTTAACTTTATATCATACAAATTTTGCTTCAATTAAAAAAAATCACCAGAGGAGATTATTAACAACTGCCAAAAACAGTGAATGAAAGTTTGATGGACACCAGGATATTCACACAGTCTCAGAGTATCTATCTCCCCATCTGATATTGACTTTTATTTATTATGGGGGAGGGGACAGGGGATAGGAAGAAAATGATACATTACGATAGGGAAAATTGGCTAACTTCATTCACTCATGTGATCGAAGTTGAACACCAGCCACGCTGGGAACTCATGTCCGGTGCCTCCTGATACGATGCAACCCATGCACCGGGGAGGGCCAGCCATGCTGCCGGACACACAGCCTGAACCTGGTCAGGGGGAGCCAGAAGGCCTAGCGATTCTGTGAAACCACTGACCTCGACTCTCCAGAAAGGTCAACGTTGTGCAAGACACAGAAAGGCTGAGGAACCAATTCGGATTAAAGGACAAGAAACGACCCAGCTGGCATGGCTATGGCTGAATGTTGACCTATGAACCGGGTGGTCACTGTTGGATTTCCGGTCAGGGCACATGCCTGCATTGCGGGCTGGATCCCCAGTAGGAGGTGTGCAGGGGGCAGCTGATCAGTGGTTCTCTCATCATTGATGTTTCTACCTCTTTTCCTCTCCCTTCCTCTTTAAAATCAATACAAAGAAAAAGAAAAGAAACGTAACGATTAAATGCGACACATCATCAGAGATTAGATCCTGGACCAGCAAAGAAACGTGCTACAGAGATATTGTGGGGGCAACAGAAAGCTTTGGGTAGGGGCTGAGGGGGAAACCGTGCTGTGTTTAGAGAAGAGAGTGTGCCCTTGTCCTTGGGGAGTACCTTATATATGTAATTACAAAGCAAATGTGGCAGCCTGTGGGTAAGCATGGACCAAGGGCGTATGGAAATTGTATTATTGCGCATTTAAAAGTACTTTAAAAGAAAGTTTTAGTCCTGGCTCAGTTGGTTGAATATGGCCCCATATGCACCAAGTGGTCACCAGTTTGATTCAGGACACATGCCCAGGAGGTGGGCTTGATCCCCAGTAGGGGATATGCAGGAGGTGGCTGGTGAATGTTTCTCTCTCATATCCTCTCTCTCTCTCTCTCTCTCTCTCTCTCTCTCTCTCCCTCCCTCCCTCCCTCCCTCCCTCCCTCCCTCCCTCTCTCTCTCTCTCTTTCTCTCTCCTCTCTCTCTCTCTCTCTCTCTCTCTCTCTCTCTCTCTCTCTCTCTCTTTCTCTCTTATCTCCCTCTCTCTCTCTTCCTTCCTTTCTTTCTCTCTCAAATTAATTTTTAAAAAAAAGAAAAGAGCAGAAACCAGTTTGGCTCAGTGGATAGAGCATCGATCTGTGGACTGAAAGGTCCCGGGTTCGATTCTGGTCAAGGGCATGTACATTGGTAGTGGGCGCTTCCTCAGTGGGGGTGTGCAGGAGGCAGCTGGTCATGTTTCTCTCTCATCGAAGTTTCTGGCTCTCTATCCCTCTCCCCTCCTTTCCTCTCTATGGAAAAATCAATAAAATATATTTTAAAAAAATAAAAAAGGAAAAGAAAGTCTTAAAATTGCCCAAAGACCTCAGGGGTGCCATGTCAGGACTCCTGCACGCTCAACCCTAATGTTCAGCTGCCTTCTGGGTGGTCCTCAAACTACTCAGCTTGAGCACCTCACCCTCAACCCATCCCTCCTCCCTGCAGCCTCATCACCAAGCCAGAGAGCAGGGGCCCGCCTGATCTCTTTCTCCTGCTCATGGCCAGCCCCATCCCTGGCCTGCCCATTCTCCTTCGGGACTCTGCCCCTTCTCTGGAGGTAGGGCTGTCCCTCTGCCGGGATGTCCTTCTTCAGTTCACGCAGGCTGAGCCGTAGTGGATCCTTCTCTGGGAGGGAAGTCCTCTCTGGAGGTAAAAGCCAAGACAGAGAGCTGGGCTTTATACCTATCTGCTGAATGAATGAATGAATGAATGAATGAATAAGGAGCCCAGCCTCCAGGCAGAACCCTCACCAGCCCTTCTTTGCGCCCTCCCCAGACCCCACGCCTTCCTCTGACCAGCCCAGAGTCCCCAGTGCTGGGTGCATCCAGCACTTTCTGGCTCTTTCTTCTGCAGAATGACAGCTCCTCCGGGGCTGGGTGGGTGGGGTGGGCCTTCAGGGGCCCCCTTTCTCACCATGGAGACATTTGGGAAAAGCCAGTGGATCGGATTGAGTGGCAGAGCTGTGCGGAGTACGGGGTGGGACTGGAGTCACCTCTGGGGTTCCCACGGGGCTGTGAAGAGGGACTGTTAGGGGTGTGTGTATGTGTGTGCGTGTGTGTGTGTGTGTGTGTGTGTGCATCTTTGCCGTTATTCACGAGGCTCCTCTTAGCCTGTGTCAGAGGTCGGAGGCTGCAAAGAGCCCCAGGCTCCAGGCTGGGCTGGGCCTGAGTTTCAGGTTTTCCAGTGTTTGAGATTTCAAGTCCCCGTGAAGTTTGGTGCATGTGTCTTGTCTGCATTTGTGCATGGTGGCTGTGTGCTCCTGAGCCTCTCAGACCTGCTCCATCTCCTTTTGGGGGTGTCTGGGGGGGTGGGGAGAGAGTCTGTGTGTGTGTCGGGGGTGCCCTGTGTGTCTCTGGCTCCGGGTGTGCTGGGAGCAGAGGTAATCACAGGCTGGGTGTGTCTGCCCCTGCGAGTGGGTTGGCCCCGCATCTCCCCGCGTGGCCGGCCTGAGGTCCGGAGGGCCCGCGGGTCCCACGCTGTGTGGGTGGGTGGAGGGTGGGTGGAGGGTGGGCAGGGACCCCGGGAGGCCGGCGAGGGGCGGGAGCGCGGGGCCGGCCCGGGGCGGAGCGAGCCGCCGGGCTGGGGGCGGGGCGGCCGGCGGCCTCACTTCGGTGGCGAAGTTGGCGGCGCTGAGGCTGGCCCGGGACGCGCCGCCCGGAGCCCGGGGCCGGAGGGCGGAGGGAGGAGGGAGGGTCGCGGCGGGCCGCCATGGGGCCGGGGACCCGGGTCCGCCGCCGCGGCCAGATGTCGCCGCTGCCGTCCGTGCGGGCGCCGCTGCTCCTGCTGCTGCTGGCGGGACCCGGGGCTGCAGGTGAGGGGCCGGGACCTGCGGGCGGAACGGATTGGGGGGGGAGGGAGGGAGGGGAACGGGGTGCAAGGACCCCCAAGTCTGGGGCTGGTGGGGGGGGGGACCCTGGAAGCCAAGGACCGGAGCAGGGGCGCGCGGGCGGGAGCAGGGGCAGGGGCGCTGGAGCCCGGACTGCGTGCGTGCCAGCCCCGGAGGACAGGGACTCAGAATTTGGAGGAGGGGGAGGGCGAGGAACACAGGGGCCCAGGAGCGATCAGGGCTGGGGGATGCGGAGACCCAGAAGTCCGGGACTGGGAGCTCGAGGTGCGGGGACCCGGGACTCAAAATTGCGGGGGGCGGGGGGGGGGGGAGGTACCCAGAATCTGGGGCTCCCTCTCCTCCACCCACGCCCATCCTGGGAAGGTCACGACTGGAGCTCCAGTGCCCCCAGGGCGGGGACCCCTCGTACAAAAGCCCCACCCCACCCCCAGCGCTCAGGCCCGCGGGGCGGGGGTCGGAGGGCGGGGAGGGGGCGCCAAGTTCCCGCAGCTCCGAACTCGGAGGAAACTTCCCAGGCCGGCGCGCGGCAAAACCCGGCGCCGGAGCCGGAGCCGGAGCCGCTGCGGCCCCGCGCCCCTTCCCCGGCCCGCTCCCTCCCCCACCCGCCGGATCCGGCGGCCCGGCCCGGTCCTCGCCTCGGGAAAGGGGGGCGGCGGGGGAAGGGGGCGAGCCCACGTGCTCCTCGTTCATTTCTGTGCGCGGACCTTGCAGCCCGAGCCCTCCGCAGCGGCCCGGGCCCCCGCCCCTCCCCCGCCCCTCCCCCTCCCCCTCCACATTTTCCCCTCCCTCTCTCGGGACAATGGCCGCGGCGTCTAGACACCCCCTCCCCCCGCCCGGCCTCGCGCTTTATTTGCCAGACAAAGCGGGGCGGGCGGCGGGGCCGAGCGGGGGCTGTGGGGGCGCATCCCCCCCAAGGGAGGCCTGGCGGGCGGAGGGGAGCGGGCCCAGCGGCCCTGGCTGAGGGTCCCGGGCACCTCTGTGGTGCTGGGATCCGGGAGGGGTGGGAGTGCAGGAGCCCAGACACCACCCCTCACTCCCCATCGTGCCCCGCCCGCCCGCACCGGGCAGGACCAGGCAGGAGCTGCCGCCCCCGCGAGGCCAGCGGGCACCCACATGGTCCGTCACACACACTCGCAGGCACTCACAGCCCTGGGTCACACAGATCAGAGGTGGATGTGCACACACAGAGTACACCCCCAGACACCCCCCTCTCACCCCCCCAGCTCACACAAGACATACCCAGGCACACACAGCTCACCACACGTGTTCATACAAGTGCGCACACCGGCCCGAGGCCTTGCATATGCGGTCTTCACACACTCGGACACACACAGACACAGATCCAAGGGCATGCCTGGCTCCCACGTGCAGATGGGCACATCCAACCTATCCACAGCCACGTGCACACACACAGACACCCTTCTACACAACAGATCCAGCCTGCACACACATCTGTAACCCATGCACTTCACGGACGCATGCGTGGCTCACAGATCCCATGGCGGAGAGTGGTCCCAGGCTGGGACTTGTGGCCCCCGGTGTGTGGCCCCCGGTGTGAGTTCACAAACATGCACTGGCCCCCGTGGGGGGATAGTGTCCTGTGCCTGCTGGCCCCTCCTTGGGAGACAGATGCCATGCTGGCCCATGCTCATGTCCCGCGTGACTCCTGTCTCTTTCTGTCTCTCTGTCTCTCTACTTCTCTGCCTGCTCATAGTTTCCTTTTCTGTAGCCGTCTCTGTCTTTCTCTATCTCCCTCCATCTTTCTATCTGTCGGTGACACACACATGAGCACATTGGCCCCACACCTGCCAGCACAATTCTCCACTAGCTCACACCCAGCCATGCCCCAGACCCGTCTGGCAGGACAGTTAGACAGTGCCACACCCCAGAGGGACAGCCCTCAGGGTTGGGGATGCTGGACAGGGCAGTACATGTCTGGGGCCAGCTGCCCCTCCCTTCGTCACACCCTGCAACACCCACTGCTGGCTGCGCCTGGGGTACATGCCCCGGCTTCTCTCCCCGGAGCCTCTGCACAGGGCAGCACGGCTGGAGGAGGCACCAGGCATCCCTGGAAGAGAGAGAGCCACGGCCCAGGACTCCCTGCCGCTGCCCCCTCCATTACCCCGGGATCTGGGCACACAGCCTCAGACCTCCCTCTAGCACACCGCACCCTCACTTCCTGCCTCCGCACCCCCCGTTTTGGCCACTTCCCGAGCCCCCACATCTGGCACAAGTCAGCACCTCCTCTTGTCCGCCCCTTGTGGTTCCCAGGGCTCAAGCTGGCAGGGACAGCTGCGGCCCCAACAGCTGGGGCCAGAGTGGGGAGCGTGGGAACCTTCGCTGGAGGGGCTCCCTGCACCCACAGAGACACCCCCAGCTCCGTGCAGCTGTTGCCTGGGAGAGGGAAGGAGGCGGGGGGCTGTCACTCTGAGCCGGGGTTCCTGGGCACCTGTCTGACCTGCCCACCTCTGTTCACCCCACACAGCTCCCCCTTGCCTGGATGGAAGCCCGTGTTCAAATGGAGGTCGCTGTACCCAGCTGTCCTCCCGGGAGGCTGTCTGCCTGTGAGTGCCTGGCTCGGAGCCATCCGTGGGCCCTGTGTGGGGAGGCGGTCTGTCTGGCCCCCCTGCTTCTGTGTCCACCGTGCATGCCTCTGCTGCTTCCTACATGCGTGGCTGGGGCAACTCCTTGATTCCTGGAATCAGCAGGGTTAAAAGCAGGAGCTCTGGCATCTGCTTGGCCTGGCTTCAAATCCCACATCGTGTTGCAGACTGGCTCGGACTTCAACTCTCTCTCTCTCTTTCTTTTTTTAAATATGTTTATTGATTTTAGAGAGAAAGGGAGACAAAGAGAGAGAGAGAAATGTTGACATGAGACAGAAACATGGATTGGTTGCCTCCCACATGCACCTGGACAGGGAATCAAACCTGCAACCTGGGCACGTGCCCTGACCAGGAATTGTACTGGCAACCTTACGCCTTTCGGTGCAAGGATGGTACTTAACCAACTGAGCCACACCGGCCAGGGCTGGGATGGAACTGTGTGTCCTCTTCTGGAAAATGAGCCCAGGAACCCTCAACCTCACAGAATTCTCAGGTGTCTGAGGTTATACGTAAAGCCCTTAATGGAGGTAGTTATAATTTAGTCAACAAATCCCCAGGGACCAACAGCAGTGGCTTGGAAGGGCACACCTTCTGCACCCTCCCCTATCTCAAGATTTCAAGGTGGGGGCATTGGCGGCCTGTAATACAGCCCAGCTCTGCCACTTCATTGCTGTGTGACCTTTGGATTAGTCATTTCCCCTCTCCAAACCTCACTGCATCTGTGAAATAGGGGGTTCTCACCAGGACTTTGGGAAAGGCAGTGGGCTGGGGGGAGAGGGAGTAGGGAAGAGGCTGGCAGAGAGCTGAGAAGAGGCAAACAGCTCGGTTTAAATTCTGGGCTCCAGGTTACCTTGTGCAAGATCTTTGAGCTTTCGGAACCTCAGTTGTTGCATCTGCAAATTGGGGCCATAACAGTTCCTTATTTGAGTTGATTGTACAGATTTAAATGAATCCTTCATACAGTGAACTCAGCATACTGCTTGGCATACAGCAAGTGCTCAAAATAGGGCTTATTTTAATAGTTTAAGAGCTTTATTAACAGGAGCTTGCAGTTTGTTGACTTTTTTTTTTAAAGTTGTAAACTTTAAAAATATATATATTTTATTGATTTAAAAAAATATATATTTTATTGATTTTTTTAGAGAGGAGGAGAGAGGGATAGAGAGCTAGAAATGTCGATGAGAGAGAAACATCAACCAGCTGCCTCTTGCACACCCCCCTACTGGAGATGTGCCCACAACCAATGTACATGCCCTTGACCGGAATCAAACCTGGGACCTTTCAGTCCGCAAACCGACCGCTCTACCACTGAGCCAAATTGGTTTCGGCTATTTTATTGATTTTTTTACAGAGAGAAAGGGAGAAGGATAGAGAAGTAGAAACATCGATGAGAGAGAAACATGGATCAGCCTCTTGCACACTCCCTACTGGGGATGTGCCTGCAACCAAGGTACATGCCCTTGACCAGAATCGAACCTGGGACCCTTGGATCTGCAGGCTGAGGCTGTATCCACTGAGCCAAACCGGTTTCGTCAAAAGTTGTAAACTTTTATTTATAAATTAAAAACGAGGATCTTAAAAAGCACAACTTGAACAGGTATGTAATAATTGGAAAAAAAAAAAACTTTTATAGGAACTTTAAACTTTTTTGCCCAACGAACCTAAAAAAACACTCCCCATGTTTGTCATTACCAAAAAGAGACATCTTTAGGTAAAAAATGTATATCTGGTCCTTGGGCCAAAAGCCAGCACTGAAGGTCTTCAGCTCCAATATATGTTCATGTCTTCTTAATGCTGGCATTTCATATTCACTTCTTGTTGGATGACTAAACCAGATGGTGATAGAGGTGGGAAGCGGGTATTACTCAACCCCGCCTGTTCAGCCTCTGGAGCAATGAATTCTCAGCCTCCCAGCCGGTAGATCCGCTGCTTTTGTCTCTTTGCCATCTTGTGGGTTAGGGTTTTCTGGGCATCTGCACCGGTAATTAATTGAAGCTGCAGTGTTGCAGCGGTATGAGTACCATCGTTGCCGTGACTGTTGACCTTGGGTCTCATCTCCTTGAATTCCTTGTCTTCACTGCTGTCCTCTCGAGGCTGTCTTTAGTGAGGAGGGCCAATAGGGGTTATTATCCTATTTAATAAAGAGCTAACATGCTAATTAGACCAAAGAGCAGAACCACCTTAATCATGACCACCTTCCAGATGAAGCCGGGGCTGCGAGGGGCTTCGAGGGCCGAGCCCCTTGTACGAATTTCGAGCTCCGGGCCTCCAGTTATAAATAATAACAGCAGAGACACAGGAAGTAGGTGCCATAAGGGGGAACCTCTCAAGACTATGGGGAAATGCTTGGTTCCTTTTGTAATATTGTCCTTAGTAAGAGCAGTTCATCTACTGGCCATTAGCTAACTGACTTATTCAGTTATTCAACAACATGTGACTTTTAGACCCAAACACACACTTTGCAGTTATACACACACTTCGAATGGGGACCACGCGAGCTCCTCTGGGTGGGATGCTTAGCCTGGCTGAGAGGGCTTTTCGGGTTGGGAGTCCCCAAAACTGAAAATAGGGAAAAGTGCCCCCCCCCACCCCATCCGAAGCCACTGGAGGTGGAGATGGAGCCGCAGGGCCGGCCGCGCACCTGCGCAGTAGAGCCCCGCGCCTGGACTCCTGCCGACAGGTGAATGCGCCCGCGGCCGCCCCGCCCCCCGACAGGTGAATCACCGGCGCGCGTGGCCGCCCGGAGCCCGGACTCCCCGGAGCGGAGCGGACTCGGTCCCCAGAGCAGGGCTGCGGGAACCACCCCCCACGAACCCCCCCATCTCCTTACACACCCCAACTACTCGTGTGCCTTCAGGGATGCCCCTTGCCCCCAATTGATCTCAAGTCTTGCCCCCCAAATAGGCTTCTAAGCCCTTGTCTCTGTCTCCCAGTGCTCGCTTCCCCTGCCCCCCCAAGTCAGCTCTCCCCTGTCTCCCCCGAAACCCAGGCCGTGGGGCGGGGCGCGGGCGGAGGCTGGAACCGGCCCGACCGGTCGGCAGGGGCGCGGGGCACAGATCGTGGGAACGCGCCGGGGGCGCCGGGAGAGGGCCGCTGGCCGCGCCCTGCCTGGCGCTGGGACCCCACAAGTCGGGGCGCCCCGGGCAGCGCGCCCCCTCCTGGCGCGTAGTGGCGGTGGCTGTGCTGGCCCTGCGGGCCTTTGGGGAGGGGGCTGGGCTCTGGCTTCTCCCCGCAAGGCACCACCTGCGCCCCTGTCCGGCCATGCCCCGACCTGTTTCGCTGGGGGCCTGGGTGGGGGGACCTTGTGGGTGACGCTGAGGACTGAGTCAGCTGCTTGCCTGTAGCCCTAAGCGCCCGGAACAAGCCCGAGGGAGGGACCAGCGGCAGAGTGGGCAGCGTCGGGGGTGGGGTCTGGGTCCTGGAGCCTCTCCAGGGCCCTCCCTCTGACTACGAAGGAGAGTTCCAGCCTTAAGACCACCCCTTTTCGGGTCTCCTATTTCTCTCACACTCCATCCAGCTTGCTTTGGTGGGTTTGGGGAGGGGACTGCGGGCTAAAGGACACCCCCTTTCTGTCCCCCCTCCCTGCACGAAAGAGGTATCAATATTTTTAAAATATATTTTATTGTTTTTTTTACAGAGAGGAAGGGAGAGGGATAGAGAGCTAGAAACATCGATGAGAGAGAAACATCAATCAGCTGCCTCCTGTACACCCCCCACTGGGAATGTGCCCTTGACCAGAATTGAACCCCGGGTCCCCTCAGTCCGCAGGCCAATGTTCTATCCACTGAGCCAAACCGGTCCTGGCGAGGCATCAATATTAGTGTCGACCTCGCTCCCACCCGTGGAAAGAAGGGATGTATGTGTTCCCAGGAAAGGAGCAGATGTTTTGTGGGGTCCTCGGTCTATCCATGTGAAAGTTGCCCCTCTCTGTGGCCCGGCCTGTGGGTTGGTGTCTGAGTATTGCCAGACAAGACGTGGAGTTGGTATGTTTGTGTATGTTCCTGGATCTGCCTGTGTGTGCCGGGAGCTTGTCTTCTGGAGTCTGAGGCTAGTTCTCTCTGCCTGGAGCACGCTTCTCCACACATCCCATGGCCTCATCCCTTCCTTCAGTCCACGAAAAGATATTTGCCTCCCGACCCCATTCCTCTGGGCCCCCTATTTTGTGTCTTAGTTTCCGTTTCCTGTAGTTGCGGTGACAAATGACCCAAAACAGAGGTGTTTAAAACAACAGAAATGTACTTACAGATTCTGGAGGCCGGAAGTCTGAAACCAAGGCGGTGGCAGACACGTTCTCCAATGGCCTGAGGGGAGTGGAGAGTCCTTCCTGCCTGCCTCTGCCACCTTCTGGCGGCTCCAGGCTTTCCTTGGCTTGTGGGTGCCACACTCCACACCACTCTCTGACTCTGCAGGACCTTCTTCTCTTTTCCCCAAATCTCCCTCTGCTTTGCTCTTAAAAGAACATTATCATTGGATTTAGGGCCCACCTGGAAAATCCAGGATGATCTCATCTCTTAATATATTTTTTTTAATAAAAAGAGTTGACATTTAAAAAATATATATATTTTATTGATTTTTTACACAGGAGGAGAGAGCGATAGAGAGCTAGAAACGTCGATGAGAGAGAAACATTGACCAGCTGCCTCTTGCACACCCCCTACCAGGGATGTGACTGCAACCAATGTACATGCCCTTGACCAGAATCAAACCTGGGACTTTTCAGTCCGCAGGCCGATGCTTTACCACTGAGCCAAACTGGTTTCGGCAAGAGTTGACATTTTTATTTTCACATTTCACTATACAAATGAAAATTGCTTTTTTTTTGGTTCCACTCCTCCCCTCAAACACTGTTCTCTCTGAGATAGGAAGAGGGAGTGAGTCTTCCTTGTCTGCTGTTAGAAAACACCAGAGTCACAGCTCCTCAACCTCCTGCGAAGGAACAGGATAGAAAGGGGCTGCCTTTTCTCCCTATCTGTCTGGATGAGTCATTCCGGGCTGAGTGGGCACCGTCATGGGCTGGACCAGAGGTCTCATCATTGGGGGCCCAGGCATCATTGGCATGTGCCCTCCCATAGGCGGCCTCATTCCTGGAGCAGGTCCCACTGGCATCATCCCAGGAGGAGGAGGACCCACCATTGGCATCATGGGAAGGAGGGCCCCTCCATGTGGGGTGCTGGCATCACACTGGGGCGAGGTGGGCCCGGAAGACTGGGGGGAGGGGGGCCCCTGCAGGAGGTGGGGCTGAGAATGGAGTAGGAGGTATTTTTCCTTGCTGAAGTGCTGCAGTTGTTTTGTCAATCAGGCTCTGAGCCTGCTCTTCTATCCACTTCTGATAGTAGTCTTTCACATTCTCTTTGTGCTTCCTACTACGGCAGTGTGTCTTTCTCACAGATGGAGAGTCATGGGTGAGGTGTGTATCGCGGTAGTCACAATAACACTTCGGCATGTTGTTCTGCAGGCCGTTGGCACTCCGTTGGCCGTGCCGCCAAAAATATATATATATTTAATTTCAGAGAGGAAAGGAGAGGGAGAGATAGAAACATCCATGATTAGAGAAAAACCACTGATCAGTTGCCTCCTGCATGCTCCCCACTGGGAATCAATCCCTCAACCCAGAATTGAACCGAGACCTCCTGGTTCACAGGTCGAAGCTCAACCACTGAGCCACACCAGCTGGGCGAATGATCTCATCTTGATATGTTCCTTAGTTACATCTGCAAAGACTTTCCAAATACTGTCAGCCACAGGTTCTGGGACGTGGATATTTCTTTTCTAGGGCCACCACTCTATACTATACCATGCCCTTCATGACCATCATGTGCACCCCCGCCTCCCCTTCCCCCCCACTGGCATGCTGCATACTAACTTGTGATTTGTGTGTCTTCTTTTCCCCAAGCTAGCTGTGAGCATCAGGAGGTAGGACCACTTTTATTGTGTTTGCTGCTGTATTCCAATTGCTAAGAACTTAGTAGGTACTTACTGAACGTTGCGTGGATGAATGAGTATGTGTATTTATTGATCGGTTTGCCCATGTGTTTCTTGCCTGTCTTGAGTGTATGTCTGTGTATCTCCTGCCCCCACTGAGCTGTCTCTGCCTACAGGTGCCCACCAGGCTGGGTGGGTGAGCGGTGCCAGCTGGAAGACCCCTGCCATTCGGGCCCCTGTGCTGGTCGTGGAGTCTGCCAGAGCTCGGTGGTAGCAGGCACTGCCCGGTTCTCCTGCCGCTGTCCCCGTGGGTTCAGAGGTAAGGGGTGATCTGGAAGGGACCCCGAGGTAGTAAGGGTTTGGTCCACCAAACTCACCCATCCTCTTCTGGTCCCTCCAGGCCCTGACTGCTCCCTGCCAGACCCCTGCCTCAGCAGCCCCTGTGCCCATGGGGCCCGCTGCTCAGTGGGGCCGGATGGCCGCTACCTCTGTGCCTGCCCACCTGGCTACCAGGGCCGCAGCTGTCGGAGCGACGTGGATGAGTGCCGGGGGGGAGGTCCCTGCCATCATGGTGGCACGTGCCTCAACACGCCAGGCTCTTTCCGCTGCCAGTGCCCAGCCGGCTACCTGGGGCCGCTGTGTGAGACCCCGGCAGTGCCCTGCGCACCTTCCCCGTGCCGTAACGGGGGCACCTGCCGACAGAATGGCGACCTCTCCTATGACTGCGCCTGCCTCCCGGGTGAGGAAGCTGCCCTTGGGGGAGGCAGCAGAGGCGGGAACACCGCAGGCCGGCCTACCATCAATACTCGCCGCCTCCTCCTTCTCCCGTGCTAGGGTTCGAGGGCCAGAACTGCGAAGTGAATGTGGATGACTGTCCAGGGAACCGGTGCCTGAATGGGGGGACATGTGTCGATGGCGTCAACACCTACAATTGCCAGTGCCCTCCGGAGTGGACAGGTAGGTGGGCGCACTGGGGCTGAAGGGAGCTGGGTGGCAGACCCCGGGTGGGGATGCACCAGTCCAGGGGACCGGACGGGTGCCTCTGTGTGCCACAGGCCAGTTCTGCACAGAGGATGTGGATGAGTGCCAGCTGCAGCCCAATGCCTGCCACAACGGGGGCACCTGCTCCAACACGCTGGGTGGCCACAGCTGCGTGTGCGTCAACGGCTGGACCGGGGAGAGCTGTAGTCAGAATATTGACGACTGTGCCACGACCGTGTGCTTCCACGGGGCCACCTGCCACGACCGTGTGGCCTCCTTCTACTGCGCCTGCCCCATGGGCAAGACTGGTGAGTGGCTGTTTCCCGTGAAGGCGGCGAGGGAGCCATGGATGGTTCCTGAATGGGGCAAGGATGGCATCTGACGTGAGTGTCAGAATGATTACACTGGAGGCCGGATATGGGGAGGAGGGGTAAGCCTGGGAGAGGCCTGGGAGGAGGGGCTGTGCATCGTACAGGACAGACGCCATGGACATAGAAAGATATACTGTAAAGCAAGAAAGAGAGGTGACCTTTGCAAGTATCAACGGCTGGAGGTGTTTGGAAGGGGGATTTAAAAGTACAGGGGGGAAAAAGTGGAGGGAAGCTGAAATCGGTTTGGCTCAGTGGATAGAGCTTTGGCCTGCGGACTGAAAGGTCCCAGGTTTGATTCCGGTCAGGGGCATGTACCTTGGTTGCGGGCACATCCCCAGTAGGGGGTGTGCAGGAGGCAGACGATCGATGTTTCTAACTCTCTATCCCTCTCTCTTCATCTCTGTAAGAAATATATATTTAAAAAAAACAAAAATAAATAAAAGTGGAGGGAAGGGCAGGTCAGGCAGAGAGAGGGTGCCACAGAAGCAAAGTCATGAGGTAGTACCCCTTTATGTTTCCAACTCCTTTTCAAAAGATTCAGAACAAAGGACAGATAAGTTTGACAATAGCTGAATCTAGGTGCGTGGGTGTATAAATCTATCTCTCTGTATGTTTAACATTTTTCATAATAAACAATTAGGAAAACATAGCTACTAAACATGCTGCAGATTAGTAAACACAAAACACAAGACATTATGTGATCTGTGGGACCTTTGGACAGAGCCGGGGTGTGTGTGTGTGTGTGTGTCTGCCCTTGACCTCTGCCTGACCCTTTCCAGGGCTTCTGTGCCACCTGGACGACGCCTGTGTCAGCAATCCCTGCCACGAGGACGCGATCTGCGACACCAACCCGGTGAATGGCCGGGCCATCTGCACCTGTCCGCCGGGCTTCACCGGCGGCGCCTGTGACCAGGATGTGGACGAGTGCTCCATTGGTGAGGGGCCGCTGTCTGAGCTGGAAGGAGGGGACAGCTCGCGCCTCCGCAGGCCATACCCACCCTGGCTGTGCCTGTCTCTGCAGGTGCCAACCCGTGCGAGCACCTGGGCAAGTGTGTGAACACCCAGGGCTCGTTCCTGTGCCAGTGTGGCCGCGGCTACACCGGCCCGCGCTGCGAGACGGACGTCAACGAGTGCCTCTCCGGGCCCTGCCGCAACCAGGCCACGTGCCTGGACCGCATCGGCCAGTTCACCTGCATCTGCATGGCAGGTGTGTGGTGGACGGGGCAGAGGCCAGGCCTGAGGCTGGGGGCGGGCGAGAGAAGAGAAGCCTGCAGGAAGGGACACGGGTTGGAGCTGGATTCCCAATGGGCCCTTGAGAGAGAGAAGCCTGGGGTGAGGGGGAGGTGGGGCCAGAGCAGAACCTCGTGGGAAGCTGGGGGCGTGGCCAAATGGAACTGATAGAATCTCCTGCTGAGAGTGGAGTCTGGACCTAAGGACCCGCTGTGGGGCTGGGGTGAGGTTTAGGTGGAGCCTGCAGACTGTCTTGCTGGGGTGTGCACAAGGCGATGTTGGGGACAGGGCATGTCTGTGGACTGGAGAGGGTGGTCTAAAGGCAAGGTCCATACGGAGTCTCATAAGCCTTGGACTGGTTGGGACTTCAGCCTGGTGAGGGTCCAGTCTCAGGACAAAAATTGAACATTGGGGGGAAGGCCAATGCTTACAGGCATCTTCAAACTACGGCCCGCGGGCCACATGCAGCCCGCAGAGGAGTCTGATCCGGCCCGCCAGGTTTTTTGGGCAGTGAGCGCAGCCGAGGTGTTACAGTAGGAATTAGTAGTTCATATAGTCCGGCCCTCCAGCTCTCTGAGGGACCGTGATCTGGCCCCCACTTTAAAAAGTTTGAGGACCCCTGGTTAGGGGAACTGACTGGGAAGGGGGTGTACCTACCCTATTGCCCTCTCTTCAGGCCAGAGGGAAACCCCCATGACCCTAATATCCTTCCCTCCCCCCCATACCCATTCCCCCAGGCTTCACAGGCACCTACTGCGAGGTGGATATGGACGAGTGTCAGAGCAGCCCATGTGTCAACGGCGGGGTCTGCAAGGACAGAGTCAATGGCTTCAGCTGCACCTGTCCCTCTGGTGAGGACCTTGGGGCCAAGGAGTCTGGAAAAGAAGGTCCCTGCAGAGCCAAAAGGCTCCGGGATGGGAGCCTGTGAGAGCCATGTCAGCAGAAAACGATTGCAATAGAAACCGCGTCATGAAAAAATGGAAATGAATTTAAAACTAAGTAAACGGGCCCTAACCAGTTTGGCTCAGTCTCGGCCTGCGAACTGAAGGGTCCCGGGTTCGATTCCAGTCAAGGGCAAGGACCTTTGTTTGTGGGCACATCCCCAGTGTGGGGTGTGCAGGAAGCAGCTGATCGATATTTCTCTCTCATTGATGTTTCTGTCTATCCATCTCCCTTCCTCTCTGTAAAAAAAAAAAATCAATGAAATATATATTTTTTAAAAAACACAAAAAAACTATAAGTTAAGGGGCTTCCCACCCACACAAGGCAGAACTGGCGAGGGGTGACTGCTCTGACCCTGTCTGGGCCTCTGCTCACTCTCCCCCTCAGGCTTCAGTGGGGCCCTGTGCCAGCTGGACGTGGACGAGTGCGCGAGCACACCCTGCAGGAACGGAGCCAAGTGCGTGGACCAGCCTGACGGCTACGAGTGCCGCTGCGCCGAGGGTGAGGGCGGGCCCTCGGGGGTTTGGAGGCGGGGCTAGCTAGGGACGAGGGCCAATCACTGCCTTGGGAAGAGCTTTGGGCGGGGCTGCATCAAGCCGGAGCCAATGACAGCCAGGGGCGGAGCCAAAGGCTTCAGGTGGGATCCAGGGCGCAGGTAACTAACGGTGTAAGGCTTGACCCACAGCATCCCTGGGCACCTCCCACCTGTCCCCATTTGCAGTTGAGGGGGAGGCCGGACGGGGCTGATAGTGCAAGGACTGATTGAAAACAGGGTCACAACGGGGAGTGGGATTTAACCCTGGAAGGGTCTTGGTCGGGGGTGAGTTTTGTAGGTTGCAGCTGGATGCCGAGGAGGCCAGCTAGGGATGGACGGCTTGGGAATGGCTCCTGCTTTCTGCTGTCTCGGTGGGCCGGAGGCAGGGCTGAGCCAGGGCGGATTGGGGGCACGGCTGTGAGCAGGACCTTGGCAAGGGGGCGTTGCCTGACCCTCCGGCCCTGCAGGCTTTGAGGGCACCCTGTGTGAGCTCAACGTGGACGACTGCTCTCCGGACCCGTGCCACCACGGGCGCTGCGTGGACGGCATCGCCAGCTTCTCCTGCGCCTGCGCCCCCGGCTACACGGGCACGCGCTGCGAGAGCCAGGTGAACGAGTGCCGCAGCCAGCCCTGCCGCCACGGGGGCAAGTGCCTGGACCTGGTGGACAAGTACCTCTGCCGCTGCCCTCCCGGCACCACAGGTGGGACCGAGGGCCGGGCTGGGGCAGCAACGGCCCATCCCATCCGGAGGGTCTGGAGAGCTCGGGGATGGTGGTGTTCCTGGCGCCACCCCGGCCTGGTTCCCCCTCTGCAGGTGTCAACTGTGAGGTGAACATCGACGACTGCGCCAGCAACCCCTGCACCTTTGGCATCTGCCGGGACGGCATCAACCGCTACGACTGTGTCTGCCAGCCTGGCTTCACAGGTGGGCCAGCGGCTGCGGCCGGAAGGGCGTTCCTAGAGGGGGAGGGTGAAATCACCCATCTTTCCTGGCGGGCGGAGGGGGCGGTTTGCCCCCTCTCTCTGCACCGGCTTGTCCAGTGAGATTGTCCACACCTTAGGGTCTCTCTGTCTGTCACAAAGTTGTCCCCATATTGGCTTAAGTTTATCCTGGAACATAGATAAGGGTGTTCTGATGGAGACGGGGAGGTGTTTCTGAGCGGGCCCGATGCAATTTGCAGCGAACGTGAAACTGACGTCATGTAGGTTTGGGGATGAGGGTGATCTGGGGCTGGGCCGCTGTGGGCTGAGGAGGTGGCTGCTCTGGTTGGCAGAGTAGCGGATGTGTGAGGGGGCTGCGCATGCCCCCCTGCAGGGTGTGGCTGTGCCCAGGGGGGCCGGGCCCGCCCTCTCTGATGGCCGGGTTGTCCTTGTCTCTCTCTCTCTCTTTTAAAAAAATATATTTTATTGATTTTTCACAGAGAAGAAGGGTGAGGGATAGAGAGCTAGATACATCGACCAGCTGCCTCCTGCACACCCCCCACCGGGGATGTGCCCGCAACCAATATACATGGCCTTGACCGGAATCGAACCTGGGACCCTTCAGTCCGCAGACCGACGCTCTATCCACTGAGCTGTCCTTGTCTCTGGATGAAGTTGCCTGTGTGCTCCCCAGGGCCCCTGTGCAACATGGAGATCAACGAGTGTGCGTCCAACCCCTGTGGGGAAGGCGGCTCCTGTGTGGACGGGGAAGACGGCTTCCACTGCCTCTGCCCGCCGGGCTCCCTGCCGCCACTGTGCCTCCCCCCCAGCCACCCCTGTGCCCAGGAGCCCTGCAGTCACGGCGTCTGCCATGACGCACCCGGAGGGTGAGGCCTTGTCCCGTCTCGTGACCCGACCCAACCCCCCCCCCCCCCCCCGTGCCCCTTGTCTCTCGGCCCACCTGCTGGCCCTGACTGCCCCCCCCCCTCAGGTTCCGCTGTGTGTGCGATCCTGGCTGGAGTGGCCCCCAGTGCAGCCACAGTCTCACGCGAGACGCCTGTGAGTCTCAGCCCTGTGGGGCTGGTGGCACCTGCACCAGCAACGGGGCGGACTTCCACTGCACCTGTCCCCCTGGCGTGCAGGGTGCGTGCCCCCATGCCCCGCCCAGGCTCTCCTGGCCCCGTCTTCCTCCTTCCTTCCCTCTGCTCCATGCTCTTCCTCCTGGATGTCGGCCCGTCTTTCTTTTTCTTTTTCCCCCTTGCAGCATGGGAGGTGGGGATCAAGGTGGGGACGCTGGGGGAGATGGGAACAAGGAACCTCTTAAGACTATTCACTCTGCCTGCCCACCACAGGGCGTCAGTGTGAGCTGCTGTCCCCCTGTGCCCCGAACCCCTGTGAGCACGGGGGCCACTGCGAGCCTGGTCCTGGCCATCTGGCTGTCTGCTCCTGCCCGCCTGGCTGGCAAGGTACATGTGCTTTCCCCTCCTCTTCCTCTTCCTCTTTCTCCTCCTCCTCCTCCTCCCCCCCTTCCCCTTCCCCTCCTTCTCCTCCTCCTCTCCCTCCTTCTCCTCCTCCTTCTCCTCCCCTCCCCCTCCCCCTCCTCCTCCTCCCCTCTCCCACTCCCCTCCTCCCCCCTCCTCCTTCCCCTCCTCCTCCTCCTTCCTCCTTCCCTCCTCTCCTCCCCCTCCCCCTCCCCTCCCTCCTCCCTCCTCCTCCCCTCCTCCCCCTCCCCTCCCCTCCTTCCTCCCCCCTCCCTCCCTCGCTCTTCTCTCCCCTCCTCTCCTCCTCCTCCCCCTCCTTCTCCTCCTCCCTCCCTCTTCCTCCTCCTCCCCCCTCCTCCTCCCTATCCTCCTCCCCCCCCCCTCCTCCCTCCCTCGTCCTCCTCTCCTCCCTCCTCTCCTCCTCCTCCCCTCCTCCTCCTCCTCCTACCCCTCCTCTTCTCCCTCATTCTCTTCCCCCTCCTCTTCCTCCTCCTCTCCCTCCTCCCACTCCTCCTCCTCCTCCTCTTCTTCTTCCTTCTTCCCCTCCTCCACCCCCTCCCTTTCCCCCTCCCCCTCTTCCTCCTTATCCCCCCTCCTCCTCTTCCTCCTCTCCCTTCTCTCCTTCCCCTCTCCCCCCTGGGGACCCAGTGGGGGACTCACCCTTGACCCTCTCTCTCTGGGAAGCTTCCTTTTGGAAAGGGACAGAGCTGGACAGACACTGGCAGCCCCTATGGTCATCGCTAGAGCAGAAGAAGGGGTAGATGGCTGGGGAAGCTCGGTTTCAGGCTGAGATCTGGGGACAGCTTCCGGGAGGAGTAAAGCTCGGAGCATGCAGTCAGCACCTGCTGCAGCAGGAAGGCAGTCCTAGGACAGTCTTACAAAGTGCCTAGGGCCGGTGAGGAGAGCTTGTTCTCGCACTCACCTCGCAGCCTTCAGGTTCCTCCTGTGTGACAGGCACCCTCGGACCCGGCCCGTACCCTCTAACCCTAGATGTCACCTTGTTTCCCACCCCAGGCCCTCGATGCCAGCAGGACGTAGACGAGTGTGCTGGCCCCTCGCCCTGCGGCCCCCACGGGACCTGCACCAACCTGGCGGGCAGTTTTAGCTGCACCTGCCATGGGGGGTATAGTGGCTCTTCCTGTGACCAGGACATCGATGACTGCGACCCCAGTGAGTCCAGGGGAGCTTGTGGGGGGTGCTGTCCTAGGAAACACGTTCATGAAGCCTGTACTGTGTGCTGGGCATTGCGCTTTAATCTCACCTTCATAGTTCTCTTATTTTTTTTCCATTTTGCTCCTGGAACTGAGACCTAAAGAGGTCACGTGACTTGCCTAAGGTCACGGAGCAGGTAAGGGATACGCTGGGATCGGAGCTCATGATTGTTAGGATTGTGGGTAAAGTATGAGATCATAGGCACCCGGTGAGTTCTCCAGGAGTGCTGTCCTGCAGACCACGCAAGCCGCATAAGCAATTACAATTTTTCGAGTACTCACACTTAAAAAGTTAAAAACACAAGAAAGGTGATATTATATTTAATAATATGTCATTGAGTCTAATCCATAAAATATCATTTCAACCTATAATCAATAGAAAATTACTGAGATATTTTACATTCTTTTTTTTTTAAATATATTTTATTGATTTTGTACAGAGAGGAAGTGAGAGAGATAGAGAGTGAGAAACATCGATGAGAGAGAGTCATCAACCAGCTGCCTCTTGCACACCCCCTACCGGGGATATGCCCGCAACTAAGGCACATGCCCTTGACCGGAATCCAACCCGGGACCCTTCAGTCCCCAAGCTGATGCTCTATCCATGAGCCAAACTGGTCTCGGCTACATTCTTCTTTTTAAAAAAATCCTCACTCGCCAAAAGCAGTTTGGCTCAGTGGATAGAGCGTCGGCTTGCAGACTGAAGGGTCCCGGGTTTGATTCCGGTCAAGGGCATGTACCTTGGTTGCAGGCACATCCCCAGTGTGGGGTGTGCAGGAGGCAGCTGATTGATGTTTCTCTATCATCGATGTTTCTCTCTGTCCCTCTCTCTTCCTCTCTGTAAAAAAATCAGTAAAATATATTAAAAATAAATCCTCACTTGAGGATATATATATATATATATTTTTCCATTGAGGGGAGGGAGGAGGAGGGAAGGGAGGGAGAGAGAGAGAAACAGCAATTGGCTGCCTCCCACACTTGCCCTGGTCTGGGGCCAGACATCAAACCTGTGATTGATTGGTCCAAGGGCCGAATCTCTAACCACTGAGCAACACAACCAGGGCTCCATTCTTCTTTTATTAAAAAAAAAAAAATATATATATATATATATATATAGATATATAGATATATAGATATATAGATATATAGATATAGATATATATATATAAAGTCTTCAGAATCCGAAAATCTGGTGTTTATTTTACACTTACAACGTATCTCAATTCGGGCCAGCCACATGCCAAGGTCTTAAGAACCACAAGTGGCCAGTGGCCACTCTACTGGCCAGGCCAAGTCTGGAGGAAGCCCCCTGTGCCGAGTCAAGGGATTAGGCAGACACAACGGACAGTCTGTGCTTAATAGCTCAAAAGGCCCCTTAGTCCTGCCAAGCGCTTCCTCTTCCACCTGGGGGAGGCTTCCAGAGGAGGGAGAGGATGCGGCAGCACAGGGGGATTTAACACTCTGAGCAAATGTGCCCTTTCCCAATAAGCCTGGTCCACTTCCACGCTCCCACTGTGCAAGGCCCGGCCGGGTCAGCAGAGGCGGATGGGGGCCTGGGTGAGTGACCAGGCCTGGTTCCCTTCTGACCGCAGACCCCTGCCTGAATGGCGGCTCCTGCCAGGACCGCGTGGGCTCCTTCTCCTGCTCCTGCCTCCCAGGCTTTGCCGGGCCCCGCTGCGCCCACGACGTGGACGAGTGTCTGAGCAGCCCCTGCGGCCCCGGCACCTGCACCGACCACGTGGCCTCCTTCGCCTGCACCTGCCCCCCGGGCTATGGAGGCTTCCGCTGCGAGCGGAACCTGCCCGACTGCAGCCCCAGGTGGGGGGCCCTCTACTGGGAGCTCAGGGACCCGGGCATCGCGTGGGGCGTGGGACCTGAGCAAGGAGTGGGGCTAAGAAGGTGGGACCTCGGGTTGGCACCCAACTCAGGACTCTGGCGCCCGATGGGGCAGTGCGGGAAGGGGCGTCTTAAGAGATGCCGGTCTCTGAGGGGGCGAGACCAGACCAGAGTGGGGCCTCCACGCGGCTCCCACCTCGGTGCTGAAGTACCTGGTAAATCGGGGCTAAGGGACAGGACAGGCCTGCAGACTCTCCTGGCGGGTGGTAGGGGTCCAAGTAGATTAAGGTGACCAGACATCTCGCTTTGGGCGGGACAGTCCCGATTTTTAACAATTTGTCCCGCGTCCCACTGGCGTTTTAAAAAAGTCCCAATTGTTGCCGAAACCGGATTGGCTCAGTGGACAGAGCCTCGACCTGCGGACTGAAAGGTCCCAGGTTCGATTCCAGTCAAGGGCAAGTACCTTGGTGGCGGGCATATCCCCAGTAGGGGGTGTGCAAGAGGCAGCTGATCGATGACTCTCTCTCATCGATGTTTCTAACTCTCTATCCCTCTCCCTTCTCTCTCTGTAAAAAAAAAAAAAAAAAAAAGTCCCAATTGTTAAAAATCGGGACTGTCACACCAAAAGCGGGATGTCTGGTTACCTTAAGGTAGATGCGTTCAAAGCGAGGCTGGGCCCAGGGTGGAGGCGGGGCCTCCCAGGGGCGGGGCCTCCCAGGGGGCGGGGCCTGACCCACCACCCCCGTTTTCCCTCCAGCTCCTGCTTCAACGGCGGGACCTGCTTGGACGGAGTGAACTCCTTCACCTGTCTGTGCCGCCCTGGCTACACCGGCGCGCACTGCCAGCAGGAGGCCGACCCCTGCCTGTCCCGGCCCTGTCTGCACGGGGGCGTCTGCACCGCCACCTACCCTGGCTTCCTCTGCACCTGTCCGGAGGGCTTCACGGGCGCCCAGTGTCAGGTGGGCGGGTCCCTGGGAGGTGGGTTTTGGGGGGAGGTGTCTGGAGGGGTGTCCAGGGGGAGGGGCCTGTGTGTGGGATCCCTGGCAGGGACACCCGGGGTGGGGGGGAGAAGCCTCCTGGCTCCTGGGGAAGGACTGACAGGGAGGTCGTGGCGAGGGGCCTGGCAGGGGGAGAACATGGGGAGTGATTTTGGGGGGTCGCTGCGCACTGACCCTGTGGGCTCCCCCCGCAGACCCTGGTGGACTGGTGCAGCCTTGAGCCTTGTCAGAACGGGGGCCGCTGTGCCCAGACAGGGGCCTCTTTCTACTGCCTCTGCCCTCCCGGGTGGAGCGGCAGCCTCTGCGACATCCAGAGCCTGCCCTGCAGGGCGGCTGCGGCCCAGATGGGTGAGCGGGAGCGCTGGCCGGTGTGTGCGCGCGGCCGGGGAGGGCGTGTGTGCATGGACTTCCTGCCGGGGTGTGAGCCCAGAGGCCGTGACAGGACACACGGGCGGGGTGGGGTGTGGGCTGCGTGTGACTGTGTGGCATGACTACATGGTGAATGTGTGTCCGTCCCCATAAGCCCACTGGAATGTGTGTGCAGCGGACGACCGAGCTGGTGTGGGCATCGCGTGTATGTGTGTGTGTGTGTGTGTGTGTGTGTGTGTGACCGTGATGAGAACTATGCCGTGTAGAGGGGTCTGTGACAACCTGAGGGAGGAGGTGGGACCCTGGTGACGGGTGGCAGCAGGGATGGGAGGTGGTGCTGTGTGTGTCGTGGGCGGGGGATGGGGCGGGGGTGGGGAGGGGAGTGCGTGCCTGACGCCCCTCTCTGTGCAGGGGTGCGGCCGGAGCAGCTGTGCCAGGCTGGTGGGCAGTGTGTGGACAAGGAGAGCGCCCACTACTGCGTGTGCCCGGAGGGCCGCACGGGCAGCCACTGTGAGCAGGAGGTGGACCCCTGCCTGGCCCAGCCCTGCCAGCACGGGGGCACGTGCCAAAGCTACCTGGGGGGTTATGTGTGCGAGGTAAGGGGCGCCCGGGGAGGGGGGAGTGGAGCTATCACAGGTAGGTGTGTCTGGGCACACAGGCCTGTGTGTCTGTAGCCTGGGGTGGCTGTGTCTCTCTAGGCCAGTCTGGTTTTGTTTGTTCCTTTGTTTTGTTTTCTGTTAAATCTCACCCAAGGAAAAATTTTCCCATTGAATTTTAGAGAAAGTGGGAGGGGGAGGGAGAAGGGGAGGGAGAGGGAGAAAGAGATAAACATCAATATATAAGAGGCACATTGATTGGTTGCCTCCCACATGCACCTCCCCCCCCCCCCAGGCCAGGGATTGAACTTGCAACCCAAGTACGTGCCCTTGACTAGAATTGAACCCGAGACCCTCTTGTGCATGAGTCAATGCTCTAACCACTGGGAATACCAGCCAGGGAGTCATGTCTGGGCTTTTACTTTTTTTTTTTTTTTTTAATGTATATACTTTTTTAAAAAAATATATTTTTTATTGATTTAAGAGAGGAAGGGAGAGGGAGAAAGAGATAGAAACATCCATGATGAGAGAGAATCACTGATTGGCTGCCTCCTGCACGCCCCCTACTGGGGATCAAGCCCACAACCCAGGCATGTGCCCTTGGCTGGAATCAAACCTGGGACCCTTCAGTCCGCAGGCCGACGCTCTATCCACTGAGCCAAACGGGCTAGGGCCGGGCTTTTCCTTGAGTGACCGAGTATGCCTTTGTGGGTGTCACCCTGGGTATCTCTGGGGGTGTTCCCGTCTGGGGGGGTGTCTGTTCCCAGGCATAGCTGTGTCTCTGTGCATGGTGTCTCTCTGAGCAGGAAGGCACCGCCGGTGTCTGAGTGTGCGTCTCTGCTTGTGTGTCTCTGGGTATCTGGGTGTTTCTGCTGTGTGTCTGTAGGAGTGTGTCCGTCTGCATGGGGTCCTCTGTGTCTGGGAGTGTGTTATTTGCACACGGCGCATGCCTGTGTCTCGGCTGACTGTGTGTGTCTTTTTGTGCTGGGAGTGTCTGTCTGTGTCCCTCGGGGCTGAGCGGGTCCCTCTCTCACCCTCTCCACAGTGTCCCGCTGGCTACGCCGGTGACAACTGCGAGGCGGACGTGGATGAGTGTGCCTCTGAGCCCTGCCAGCACGGGGGCTTCTGCATCGACCTCGTGGCCCGGTTCCTCTGCTCCTGTCCTCCTGGGACCCTCGGTACGCCAGGGCCGGGGCTGGGGACGGGCTGGGGGGCTGGGTCTCTGTCCGTCCCTGACCCCTCCCCTCATCTTCCTCCCCCCAGGGGTTCTCTGTGAGATGAACGAGGACGACTGTGGCCCAGGCCCCCCCCAGGACCCCGGCCCCCGGTGCTTGCACAACGGCACCTGTGTGGACCTCGTGGGCGGCTTCCGCTGCACCTGCCCGCCAGGCTACACCGGCCGGCGCTGTGAGGCTGACATCAACGAGTGTCACCCGGGCGCCTGCCACGCCGCTCACACCCGGGACTGCCTGCAGGATCCAGGGGGGGGCTTCCGCTGCCTCTGCCGAGCTGGCTTCACAGGTAAGGGCGGGCAGGGGGCTGACCTGGGCTCCGGCCTGTCTCCCCCCATCTTCCCCCCCCCCCCCTTACTGTGGCTGATCCACGGGCTCCTGGTTGCCCAGGTCCCCGCTGTCAGACTGTCCTGTCTCCCTGCGAGTCCCAGCCGTGCCAGCATGGGGGCCAGTGCCGGCCTGGCCCCGGCTCTGGGGGTGCCATGACCTTCACCTGCCATTGTGTCCCGGTAAGTGGGGGTGGCTGGTCACACCAGGGTCTCTGTGGCCTGGCCTTTAGGGGAGAAGAGGCGCCAGTGAAGGGCACATGCCTGGGTTGTGGGCTTCATCTCCAGTAGGAGGCGTGCAGGAGGCAGCCGATCAATGATTCTCATCACCGATGTTTCTATGGGGTTCTGGCAAATGTTGACATTACCTAGAAGTCATGGGAAGGAAGGGGTGGTGAGGCTGGGGCTTGAAGACGTGGCTTCTTGGGGAAGGCCAGGCGTGTGTGCATAGCGGGGATGGGATTCCAGCGGAAGGGGGAGGAGAGGTTTGGTGAGACCTGCGGAGACTGGAGGCTCAAGCGTTCCCAAGTCCTGACCCTCCCCATCCTTCCCCCTCTCTCCCTTTCCCCATCCCCTGCCCCGCGGGGGCTTCCTTGTTTCTCCCCCCAAACCCACAGCCGTTCTGGGGCCCGCGGTGTGAGCGGGTGGCGCGATCCTGCCGGGAGCTGCAGTGCCCCGCGGGCATCCCGTGCCAGCAGACGGCGCGTGGGCCGCGCTGCGCCTGCCCCGCGGGGCTGGCAGGGCCCGCCTGCCCGGGGGCCGCCAACGCCAGCTGCCTGCTCTCCCCCTGCCTGCACGGGGGCGCGTGCACCCCGGAGCCTTCCGCGCCCTTCTTCCGCTGCGCGTGCGCCCCCGGCTGGGCCGGGCCCCGCTGCGAGGTGCCGGCGGCGGCGGCGGCGCCCGAGGCCCCCGAGGAGGAGCCGCTGTGCCCGAGCGCCGCCTGCGAGGCCAAGAGCGGGGACCGGCGCTGCGACCGGGAGTGCAACAGCCCGGCCTGCGGCTGGGACGGCGGCGACTGCTCGCTGAGCGTGGGCGACCCCTGGCGGCAGTGCGCGGCGCTGCAGTGCTGGCGTCTCTTCAACAACAGCCGCTGCGACCCGGCCTGCAGCTCCCCCGCCTGCCTCTACGACAACTTTGACTGCCGGACTGGAGGCCGCGAGCGCACCTGCAAGTGAGCCCCCTCCCTCTCTGTCTGTCTGTGCCTGGGCCCCGCCTCTGGGCATCTCTCCGTCCTTCCATGCACCCCAGTCTGTGCCTTGTCTGTCCATGGGCCCTTCCTCTCTTTCTGTCCATTCATTTGCCTTGGTCTGTGGTCCATCCTGAGACTGTTCTCCTCATTCATTTGCCCTGCTTGTCCTGCCCAGCTGAGTGCCACTTCTGTCTGTTGGTCCATCCTCGTCCGTGTGCCCTCTCTGTCCATCCTTGTGCCCTGCCCGTCCCAGTGTTCCCATCTGTCTGTCCATCCATGGACTCACCTCTCTTTCTGTGTATGCCTGCACTCCGTCTTTCCCTCCCTGTGCACTGTGTGTCCGTCTCGCTGCCCATTCCTGAGTTCCTTCCGCCCCTCTGTGCGCCTGGCTGCATGTGGTCCATCTCACCTGGGCATCTGTCTGTCTGTATGCCAGTCTGTCTGTCCACGTGCCTCATGTATGGGTCCATCGGACCATCTTTGTGACCGCCTGTTCATCTAGGTCTCCTTGTCTGTCCTCCTGCCCTTCCACGAGCCTCTTTGCCCCTTTCTATGCCCACACAGCTGTCCTTGCCCTCGCCTGCCTGTCCTGCCCCTCCCTGTGTCTGCTCATGCCCCCGTCTGTCTGTCCCATGCATTCCATCTGTCCATCCTAGGCTCTGTCCCTTTGTCCCACTGCTTCACTTTCCTCCTTCGCATGCAATCTACATAGCATTCTGTGTGTGTATGTGTGTTTACATTTAGCGTTCACTGCCGTGTAAGTGAAATGCTGTTATCGTCGCTCATTTGTCTCCTTTACCATCTGTCTCCACCCCCCTTTCGCCCCCGCCCCCCCCAATGCAGCTCCACGCGTTCACGGGTACGCCCGGGCCATTCCTGGGTGCCCGCCACGGGCTCAGCACCTTCCAGGTGTTCTCCAGAGTGATGTATCCATAGTTACCGAGAGAGTGGATGGATTCGGATACATCCCAGTCCTCTGTGCTTGCTGTCTGACCCCCCTCTGTCTCCGGGGAGCTGGGGTGCTCTGTGTGTGCGGGGTGGGGGTGGGCTGGAGGCCCCCTGACGGTGCCCCCTCCCTGCCCCCAGCCCGGTCTATGAGAAGTACTGCGCCGACCACTTCGCCGACGGCCGCTGCGACCAGGGCTGCAACACGGAGGAGTGCGGCTGGGACGGGCTGGACTGCGCCGGGGAGGTGCCGGCGCTGCTGGCCCGCGGCGTGCTGGTGCTCACCGTGCTGCTGCCGCCCGCCGAGGTGCTGCACGCGGGCACCGACTTCCTGCAGCGGCTCAGCGCCATCCTGCGCACCTCCCTGCGCTTCCGCCTGGACGAGCGCGGCCAGGCCATGGTCTTCCCGTACCACCGGCGGGACCCCGGCCCCGGAGCCCCGCACTGGCGCGAGCTGGGCCCCGAGGCGATCGGGTGAGTGGCTGCCCCGAGAGCTGTGGGGGACGGGAGAGGGCACCCCGAGGGAGGTCTGGTGTGTTTCGCTTCCCTGAACATCTTGGGGAGCCTTCGTGCTGACAGTAAGTCCAGCAGGTCTCAGCCTTGACCGCGGGAACATGGGGGGCGGGGTCATTCTTTGCGGCGGGGCGTCCTGTGCGTGAAGTCTGTTGAGCAGCATCCCTGGCTTCCACCCACTAGATGCAAGTAGCTGCCCACCCCCAAGATACGGGCAAGGGGCATTTGCGGAGCAGAATTGCCCCCTGGATAGAGGCCCCCCTCCTCCTGGAGAGGCAGGGGGGTAGCAGAGTCATTAGAAACGTCTGTAGTTTTTTTCTTTCTTTCTTGGAAATGGAAAGCATAGGACGCTGCGGTTGGTGGGCTGGTCTACCCGGCCGGACAGTGCCAGGGAGCAGCGTGGTCTCTGAGCGGGGTGGGCCCTGACACAGAGATGGGGCGTGGGCTCCGATGGGATGGAAGAGGGTGGCTTATGTGCCTGACCCCGGCTGGGGTGAGCGAGTGGCTGGAGGGCGTGTCACCAAATTGAGGACACGTGGGGGTGGGGTGGGGGGGGAATAGGGTTGCTTTGGGGCTTGTAACATCTGACAAGTCTGGAGATCCCCAGAAGGCAACCAGGGGCTAAAGACAGAGACAAGAAAGACAGAGGGTGTGGGCAATCATGGAAGCCATGAGGGGACTCAAACAAATGGGGAGAGAGGTGGGGACAGAAGAATGATCTGGGGCCAAGCCGTGTGGCTCAGTGGTTGAGTGCTGACTTCTGACCTGGAAGTCATGGTTTGATTCCCGGTCAGAGCACGTGCATGAGATGTGGGTTCCATTCCCATTGGGGGACACGCAGGAGGCAGCTGATCAATGATTCTCTTTCATCATTGATGTTTCTCTCTCACCCTCTCTGAAATCAATCAATCAATAAATCATTCACTCACTCACTCACTCTATCTATCTATCTATCTACTTTTATATATTTTATTGATTTTTTTACAGAGAAGGATAGAGAGTTAGAAACATTGATGAGAGAGAGTCATCGATCAGCTGCCTCTTGCACACCCCCCACTGGGGATGTGCCCACAACCAAGGTACATGCCCTTGACCGGAATCGAACTTGGGGACCCTTCAGTCCGAAGGCCGATGCTCCATCCACTGAGCCAAACTGATTAGGGCTGAGAGTCAAATTTTTTTTAAACTTAAACTTCTTCTAACGCTGCTTCTTCAAAATAGACTCGCCCAGGCCGTGGTATTTTGTGTACGAGCCACACTCAAGGGGCCAGAGAGCCGCGTGTGTGGCTCGCGAGCCGCAGTTTGCCGACCACTGGTCTGGGGGACTCTGGTGGCCTCAGCAAAGCTGGTTTGGGGAGTGTGGTGGGGTTGGACGCCAGAAGGTGGCAGGTGGGCCACGGTGACCTGGTGAGCGGACACAGCTCTTTGGAGCCCGGCGCTGGGGGGGGGAGACGGGGCTTGGTGCCAGCCTGGCAGCCGGTGCCCCACTAAGCCAGCCGATGCCCCCTCTGCGCCCCCACAGCTCGGTGGTGATGCTGGAGATCGACAACCGACTGTGCCTGCAGTTGCCCGACAATGACCACTGCTTCTCCGACGCCCAGAGCGCGGCCGACTACCTGGGAGCGCTGTCCGCGGTGGAACGCCTGGACTTCCCGTACCCGCTGTGGGCTGCGCGGGGTGAGCCCCGCGGGAGGGCGGCCGGTGCGGGGTCCGGGCTCCCCTGGCGGGGTCCCGGCCCGGCCGGGGCTGAAGTCCTGCGTCTCCCGCCTGCAGGGGAGCCGCTGGAGCCGCCGGAGCCCGGCGTGCCGCTGCTGCCGCTGCTGGCCGCCAGCGCCGTCTTCCTGCTGGTCATCCTCGTCCTGGTGGTCATGGTGGCCCGGCGCAAGCGTGAGCACAGCACCCTGTGGTTCCCCGAGGGCTTCGCGCTGCACAAGGACGTGGCCGCCGGCCACAAGGGCCGGAGGGAGCCCGTGGGCCAGGACGCGCTGGGCATGAAGTGAGGACCCTGCCCTCGCCCCGCCCCTCACTGTAGGGCCCTTGTGAGCCCCTGCGCCCCACCTCGACCTGACTCTGACCCCACCTGGACCCTAACTTCAGACTGCAGCCTGGACCCCAGGTCTTATCTTCTTGACCACTGACTGACTCTATGATTCCTTGGGGATCACCCCTGATTCCTGACCCCTGACTCCATTTCCTAAGTCCCAGTTCCTCTAATTCAAATTCTATCCTGACCCCACTCGGACTCGACCCCAACCTTTGCCCCTCAGATCTCATGCTAATACTCGGCATTCATTCCCACATGACTGCTGGCTCCATGACCCCTATTGGGTACCCCAACTCCTTCCTGACCCCTGGGCCTTTCCTCTGTGACCCCCGATATCACCTCAGGCTCTAATCCACCCTGACCTTTGACTTCCTCTCTGATCCCCTTTCCACCCCAACTCAATGTCCATTCCCCACCACCTCCAATCCTGGCCTTGATCCTAGACTCCACCTCCGATTCCCTCATCTGTCCCTCAAGACCCAAACCCCACCCTGGCCTGACCTCTAAATTTACCCCTCCCCTGTGACCTCCTGACTCCCTGACCCCTCTCCACAACCTCCTTATCTTGGCTATGACTCTTACCTGTTGTGAGGTTAACTCTATTCTGTTACGGCATCATCCTCTCTAACCCCGGATGTATGCCCATGACCCTCACCTATCCCGCAGCTCACTACTCTGACTCCTGACCCCACTCCTGTCTCCTCCCACAGTCCACCTTTAGACCCTGGCTCTCACTCATCATAACTTCTGACTGCATTCCCTGTGACCTTGACCCCATTCTGCACTCCCCCATTAGACCCTGTATCTCAACCCGCTCCCTGTGCCTACTGACCTACCCCAACTCCAGACCCTGACCCCACTTCTGGGACCTCTGCTGTGACTCCCACCCCTAATCTTCTTCCGGGTCACATGTCTCAATTGCCCCCTCTGCCCTTCCCCCTATCCATTGTCTCCACAGGAATATGGCCAAGGGGGAGAGTCTGATGGGGGAGGTGGCCACAGACTGGATGGACACAGAGTGCCCGGAGGCCAAGCGACTGAAGGTTGTGACCCCTCTTTCTTTTTCTTTTTTCTTTTTTTTACTTTTTATACTAAGTATTTTATTCAAATGCTGATGCCAGCATCTATAAAATAATCATTCTTGTGAAATAGAAATTCATGAAAATTCATAGAGGTAGATGTGAAGGACTGACAAAAGCAGAAATCTGTATAGGATGGCACATGATATAGGGTAAGCTTTTTGTACAGGCTGCAGATTTAGCTGTCTTTGAATATTCACTGGTTCAAGAACAGTGGTGTAGAACACCTTCAAAATTCATTTTGCTACAGAAAGACACAGCTTTCTGGGGTCTGAAGGGATTGGTCCTTGAAATACCCCTGTCGTCAGGGGGTCACGTTGAGCATCCTGCAGACAGAATTGTTTCCCATCTGCAGCTGCCTGGGAAACCTTCGTGAGGTTGAGCCCGGCCTCCGGCCAGAGCTGCTGAAACACTCTCTTCACAGCGGTGACGCTGGAGGGACCAGGCAGGGTGCACGCGAGAGCCGGGCAGATTGCTTGGTAGTGGGTCTCAGGTCGTGGATCCACGGGGGCCAGATGGCAGGGCCTGTGCCCCCTCTTCTGAACTCTGCTTTCAGGGTCTTGGGTGGGGCCCCGAAGGTCAGTGGGAGAGCTCAGAGGCCGTCACCTGGATCCGTAAGCTCAGGGCTGGCTGGATGAGGCTCTGGGTTTGGTGCCCAAAGGCTCTCCAGTGAGCTGGCAGACTGGTTAAGAATATTCTGTCCTGATTCCGCAACATCACTCAGGCCTTTTGGACCATGGGTCTGAAATGTATCGAGCTCCTGCGAGGGCCCAGTTGCTGTGCTCATGAAGGTGCATCGATATATTTGTGTGTGACTATTTGGTCCCTGTACCTCACGATCATATTCATGTGCCCAGATTAATACTAACCCTTGAAGGATTCCCTTGCCCCCACATTTCTTTTCCAATGATTTTTAGTTTCCAGAGTATAAGTTTTGCGTTTTTCCCCTCCTGAGAAATATAATTCTAAATATTTTATTCTTCTTGATGCTGTTGTCGGTAGAAGTGCCAACTTAATCTTGTTTCGATGTGTTTGTGTCTAGCGTACGGACAGGTGTGTGCTGACCGTGACGATGCTGTGTCCCTTCCTTGATCACTCACCTTGGGTCCCAAGCCCTTCCCCCCTTCCAATTGGGATTAAAATTCCAGTTTTGCCTCTGACGAGTTTTCTGACCTCCTCTATGTCAGTTTCCTGTTTCCCGATCTAGAAAACAATCTTTTTTTTTTTTTTTTTTTTTTGGGGGGGGGGGGGTGTTGTGTGTGCATCTCCATGAGAGAAACCCAGACAGTCCCTCTGTCTTTCCAAACTCCCGGTGAGAACCTGGGTCCTTGTGCCTCCAGGTCGAGGAGCCTGGCGTGGGGGCTGAGGATGCTGTGGACTGCCGCCAGTGGACTCAACACCACCTGGTTGCTGCTGACATCCGCGTGGCCCCAGCCATGGCCTTGACGCCACCGCAGGGCGATGCGGATGCTGATGGCATGGATGTCAACGTGCGTGGCCCAGGTCCGTGAGGGCACCTTCCACTCCCCACGCCTGCTTGTGAGAGCCCGTGTCTGGGTCTGTGATATGGGGAGAGCTAGGTGTGTCTGGATGCTTGTCTGTGGGGCTGGTTGTTCATCAGGACTCTTGGTTGTAAGTGATTCTAGCCCAGTTCATCCAAGTTTAAGCAAAACAAGGGATTTACTGGTTCTCGTAACCGGAAGCATCAGGTGCATTTGGATCCAGGACTCACCACCCCTTGGCTCCGGCCCAGGAAGGCTTTTTCCTGGGGACACTATGGCCACAGGCAGGATCAGCCTTATAAGACCTTTTTTTCCATCTACACCAGAAAAAGTCCCAGAATGAGTTCTGATTGGACAGACCAGGGTCACATGTCCATCCCTGTAGTCTGGGGCCTGGAATATGCAGACTGACCAAGCCTGGGCCATGTGCCTGTCCCTGGGGGAGGGGCTTTGGCTCTCACCAGAGCTTGAGGATGGAGAATGGGGTGCGAGTGTCTCCCTCAGGAAACCAGGCCAAATGCTCACAGAGGGCTGCTGACCATGTTGTTTGGATCCAGTTGGATTCATCTTTGCCATATTTCAGGGGATTCTCCCCCTAGCGCTGTTTTGCTCCAAAAGGCCTGTATCTTTTGAAGTCCTTAAGGACTTCAAAGTCAGCAAACTGCAGCTGGCGAGCCACATGCGCCTCTTTGGCCCCTTGAGTGTGGCTCCTCCACAAAATACCACCGCCTGGGCGAGTCTATTTTGAAGAAGTGGCATTAGAAGAAGTTTAAGTTTAAAAAATTGGGCTCTCCGAAGAAATTTCAATCGTTGTCCTGTTGCTATTTGGATCTGTTGACGAATGAGTTTGCCGACCACAGGTTTAAGGGATTTTATGTCCCTGGGGGGGTGCTCACAACTGGTGGATGTGGGCATTTGACAGGCACAGCTCCTTTGCCTCAAGCTGGATTGTAACTGTGGGCATAACTCAGCCTCCAGCCTTCCCCTTGGATCAGGCTGAAAACACCCAATGGGAATTTGTCCAAGGGGCATGTTGTTTCTCTTCTTCCCTTTCGTGTCCTTTATCCTTTTCTTTTTTCTTTTAAAAAATATATATTTTATTGATTTTTTACAGAGAGGAAGGGAGAGGGATAGAGAGTTAGAAACATCGATGAGAGAGAATCATCAACCAGCTGCCTCTTGCACACCCCCTACTGGGGATGTGCCCACAACCAGGGTACATGACCTTGATTGGAATCGAACCCGGGACCTTTCAGTTCGCAGGTCGACACTCTATCCATTGAGCCAAACCGGTTTTGGCCCTTTATCCTTTTCTGCCTTGGAGCCCTGCTGGGGAAAGTCACATGCTCATGAATCTTTGTTCTGGGTTGGCTTCTGGGGCCCCGGACACAGATGTGTGTGTGTGTGTGTGTGTGTGTGTGTGTGTGTATGCAGATGTACTTCCGTTTGTCCCACTTCTTCCTAATACAGTGCCTTCCGCAGAATCCCCTGGAAAGGCCCTTGTACCCATCTTCCCGTGATATGTCCCTGTTCCCTGCAGATGGCTTCACCCCGCTGATGCTGGCCTCCTTCTGTGGGGGGGCCTTGGAGCCGGTGCCAGCCGAGGAGGATGAGGCGGAAGACACGTCTGCCAGCATCATCTCAGACCTGATTTGCCAGGGGGCCCAGCTCGGGGCGCGGACTGACCGCACGGGCGAGACGGCCTTGCACCTGGCCGCCCGCTATGCCCGGGCCGATGCGGCCAAGCGGCTGCTGGATGCCGGAGCAGACACCAATGCCCAGGACCACTCGGGGCGCACGCCCCTGCACACGGCTGTCACCGCCGATGCCCAGGGCGTCTTCCAGGTGAGACAGGCCTGCCTCTTTGGACATCAGAGGCGGGACAGGCACCGAACTGATCTGGGCTGGAGCCCCAGTTCTGCCTTTCAGGGCCTTTTTTGTTTTGTTTTGTTGTGTTGTTTTTTTTTTTGTAAAATAGGGATGTATGGGAGTACAGTTTCTGGCAAGTCACTGCTCCCTGAATCTCATTGATTCCAGGAGGTGTGGGGATTGGGTCCTCAGATGGCTTAGAGGTGCTCCTGGTCCTCCCCTGTTTCTGCCATGACTCCCCCTGCTGCATCCTCCCTCCCCTAGATTCTCATCCGGAACCGCTCCACAGACCTGGATGCCCGCATGGCCGATGGGTCGACCGCACTGATCCTGGCGGCCCGCCTGGCGGTGGAGGGCATGGTGGAAGAGCTCATTGCCAGCCACGCTGATGTCAATGCTGTGGATGAACTCGGTAGGCTGGTGGTGGGGGCCGAGGGGATGTCACAGGGACCCTGACTGTCTTTTCTGTGCGAACTCTCTCCCGCTGTGAACACTGCGACCCAATCACCGAGGCTTCTGTACGCATCACAGGGCTGCAGCGTGGCCTTACACTGTCATGCATGTTCTTACAGCGTGTGTTAGGGCATCGACACATCAGCGACTTAGGAAATGGTGCCCTTCCCCAAGGCACTTCGTTTCCACCTCCTTTGTTAGAAGTAGTTCCTGCTGCCCTAACCAGTTTGGCTCAGTGGATAGAGCGTCGGCCTGTGGACTCAAGGGTCCCAGGTTCAATTCCGATCAAGGGTATGTACCTTGGTTTCGGGCACATCCCCACTAGGGAGTGTGCAGGAGGCATCTGGTTTCTCTCTCATTGATGTTTCTATCCCTCTCCTTTCCTCTCAGTAAAAAAAATCAATTATATATATATATATATATATATATATATATATATATATATTTTTTTTTTTTTAAGAAAAGAAAAGAAAAGAGAGAGGAAGTACTCCCTGCTGCCATCTGCTAGGCAGCTGTTATAATACATTTGCTAACCCACCCATTTCTATGCCGTGGCCTCGCCCTCCCCAGTGGCTTGCTAGCAGAGTCCCTGGAGGTGGCTTCTCGCACGGAGGTGTGGAGATTCACAACCTGCCCTTATGTCCCGAGGACCTCACCCAGAGGCACACACTCAGGTGCTCACAGACACCCTTCGGAGTAGGTGTTCTCCACTTTTGGAGCAGGCGTTTCTGGCCTACCGATGACATTTGGGATCGGAGCATCTTTGGTGGGTAGTAGGGGGGCCATCCTTATGTTGCAGGCTGTTCAGCAGAACCCCTGGACTTGAACTATTAGATGAGAGTAACCCACCTCCCTGTTGTGGCAACCAAAAATATCTCCCAACACTGCCCAGTGCCGCTGGGGGGAAATCAGCCCTGGTTGGGAAACTCGGCCTTAGAGGAGCACTATCCAGTAGAACATTGTGAGATGAGAGGCTGATTCCCACAGTGACTGCCCCATTTTTCACTCCCACCAACAGTGTACGAAGGCTCCAATATCTCCACATCTTGCCAATACTTTTTATTATCTGTTGTTGTTTTTTGTTTGTAGTGGGTGTGAATTGGTATATCAAGGTGGTGTGTGATTTTCATTTTTCTGATGGCTCATGATTTTGAGCATCTTTCTATATGCTTATTGGCCATTTGTATGTGTCTTCTTTTGCAAAATATCCATGCAGATGTTTTGCCCATTTTTAATTGGGTTATTTGTCTTTCTATATTTTTAAAACCTATTTTTATTGATTTCAGAGGAGGGGAGAGGGAAAGGGAAATACAAACGTCAATGATAAGAGCGAATCACTGGTAGACTGCCTCCTGCGTGCCCCACATTGGGGACTGAGCCCGCAACCTGGACATATGCCCTGTCTGGGGATTGAACCATGACCTTCTGGTTCATAGGTCAATGCTCAACCACTGGGCCAAGCTGGCCAGGCTGTCTTTCTATTATTGAGTTACAAAGATTATGTATTCTAGGTATGTTTCTTATCAGATATATTTCTCCCAATTTGTAGGGAGGGAGGGAGGAAGAAAGGGAGGAAAGGAAGGAGGGAAGGAGGGAGGGAGGGGAGAGAGAGAGAGAGAGAGAGAGAGAGAGAGAGATTGATTTGTTGTTCCACTTATGCATTCATTGGTTGATTCTTATATGTATCCTGACTGGGCATAGAACCTGCAACCTTGGCATATCAGGATGGCATTCTAAACAACTGAGTGAGGGCTTCACTTTCTTTATGTTGTCCTTCAAAGCACAAACGTTTTAATTTTGATGATGTCTAGTTTATATATTTTTGTTGTATTGTTGCTTCTGTTTTTGGTGTCATATCTAAGAATCCTTGTCTAATTCAAGATCATAAATATTTACTCCTATATTTTCTTCTAAATATTTTATAGTTTCAGCTTTTACATTTAGGTCTTTGAGTTATTATTTTTTAATATGGTGTGAGGTAGGGGGTCCAATTTAGTTTTTTTATTTTTATTTATTTATTTTCTATTTTTTTATTTATTAAATTATTATCTGTGTACATATTTTAACATTGCCCCCCCCTCCCATACATACCCAATTTAGTTTTTTTGCATGTGGAGATCTAGTTGTCCCAGTACCATTTGTTGAGAAAGCTATTTTTTCCTCATTGCAAGGTTTTGACATCTATTTTATTTAATTTTAGTTAATTTAAATCTAAAGAGGCACATGGGACTGATGGCCCTTGCATTAGATAGCACACCTCTATGAATAAACAAGTGAGGGCTGCATAGTTCCCTCTGTATAAAGAGAGTCACATGTACAGGAGCCCCAGGCCATGGAAGACACATGTACGGTGTCTCCCTTGGATTCCACAGATCTGCACACATACACGGAGCCACACACAGGTGCGCAGATACTCATGGCAGGTCTGCTCCTGCTCACCAGGCTGTATTCTGGGCATTTCCTGCTTCTCTGCCGTGGAGGGCCAAGACAGGAGCTTGATTCTGACCTTGACCTCTCTCCACTCCCCCCAGGGAAATCAGCCTTACACTGGGCTGCAGCTGTCAACAACGTGGAGGCCACCTTGGCCCTGCTCAAAAATGGAGCCAACAAGGACATGCAAGACAGCAAGGTGAGCTCACCAGGGGGTCATCCCTAGCACAGACCTCCCCCTACCAGGTAGCAGAGAGTGGGGTGGGGTAGGCAAGTGGGAGCGTTTGCCTGGCCTGCAGCCAGCTTTCAGGGGTGGGCGTTGGGCTCAAGAGGCTCCAACAGTGGATCAGAGGAGGAAATGTGTGGCAGTTGCTATGTGACCTTGGTAAAGTTGCTTAACTCCTCTGGACCTCAGTGTTCTCATCTGTGAAATGGAGAAGCAACAGTGCCCACCTCATTGCCTCTTCCAAGGATTCAGTTAGCTCAATAAAAGGTGACTTTTTGATTATGTTTAAAAAGCCTTGGAAGGTGGTGTTACTCTACTCAGATAAGCAGAGTGAGGCTCAGAGGGGTGCAGGATGGATTCTGTCCTAAGCTAAAATTTCCATATTTTCTTTATTATGGATTTTTTTGCATTAATTAAAAAAAAATTTTTTTTTAAAGAAACCATTGCATTAAAACATTTATTTTGATGACTGAGAGTTTTGGTGCCCCTTTAAAATTTGTGCCTAAGGCGAGTGCCTTAGTCTTCTCACCCTATTCCTGGCGCTGGGGCCCTGCACTTAGTAGGTGCGCCGCGGACGTGGTTTAAGTAAAAGAACTTGCCTCGGCTTCCCCATCAGAGCGGGGAGTTGCACCCAGGTCTCCTAAGGCTGGAGAGGATGAACTCTTAGCTCTCAGGTTCCGTCAGAGGACGGAGGAGGCCCTGGTTTGCTGCCAGGAGTTCGTCCCGGCCCTTGTGACCCTGACACCTTGCTGGCTCTCGGCTCCCCCCAGGAGGAGACACCGCTGTTCCTGGCTGCCCGGGAGGGCAGCTACGAGGCTGCCAAGCTCCTGCTGGACCACTTTGCCAACCGGGAGATCACTGACCACCTGGACAGGCTGCCCCGCGACGTGGCCCAGGAGAGGCTGCACCAGGACATCGTGCGCTTGCTGGACCAGCCCAGCGGGCCGCGCAGCCCCCCGGGCTCCCACGGCCTGGGGCCCCTGCTCTGCCCACCCGGCGCCTTCCTCCCTGGCCTCAAGGCGGCGCAGTCGGGGGGCAAGAAGAGCCGAAGGCCGCCGGGGAAAGCAGGGCTGGGACCGCAGGGCGCCCGGGGCCGGGGCAAGAAGCTGACGCTGGCCTGCCCGGGTCCCCTGGCTGAGAGCTCAGTCACCCTGTCGCCCGTAGACTCTCTGGACTCCCCACGGCCCTTTGGGGGCCCCCCTGCGTCCCCTGGAGGTTTCCCCCTCGAGGGGCCCTACATGAGTGCCACCACCACAGCCATGTCCCTGGCACAACTTGGTGGTGCAGGCAGGGCAGGGCTAGGGCGCCAGCCCCCTGGGGGCTGTGTCCTCAGCCTGGGCTTGCTGAAACCTGTGGCCGTTCCCCTCGACTGGGCCCGGCTGCCCCCACCTGCCCCACCGGGCCCCTCGTTCCTGCTGCCGCTGGCCCCGGGACCCCAGCTGCTGAACCCTGGGACCCCCCTGTCTCCTCAGGAGCGGCCCCCGCCATACCTGGCTGTCCCGGGACATGGCGAGGAGTATCCAGTACCCGGGGCCCATGGCAGCCCCCCCAAGGCTCGCTTCCTCCGGGTCCCGAGTGAGCACCCCTACCTGACCCCGTCCCCGGAGTCCCCCGAGCACTGGGCCAGCCCCTCGCCGCCCTCCCTCTCGGACTGGTCCGATTCCACACCCAGCCCAGCCACTGCCACCAGGGCAGCCACCGCTGCTGGGACACTCCCGGCCCAGCCACTCTCCCTGTCTGTCCCTGGCCCTCTAGTGCAGGCCCAGACCCAGCTGGGGCCCCAGCCTGAGGTCACTCCCAAGAGGCAGGTGTTGGCTTGAGGGGCTCCTCAGTTTCTTGGAGTTTGGGCAACTGAAGAGACATCCTATCTTGATTCTGTTCTCTTCCCCATTTTCCTTTAATCCCTTTCATTCTCTTTTCCAACCTCCTACCCCTGCAGTGTGACTGACATAGTTTACCAGCCTAGGGCTTCAATCGTCCCTTATTTGTAAGGCGTTCAGGCTGACCCCCGACCCATGGGTCTTGTGATGAGCCTGGGACCTCCTCCTGTCCTCCCCTCTTCCTGCTCCCCAACTCACCCTCCCTTCCTTTTTGCCTCCTCTGGCCTCTTTGAATCCTCACACTCTGACACGAGTGGATTTTTTTTTTTTTTTTTTTTTTTTTTTACATTTTGTATAGAAACAAAATTCATTTAAACAAACTTATTATTATTATTATTATTTTTTACAAAATATATATATGGAGCTGCTCCCTGCCCCCTGCAAACCCCCCAGTGCCCCCATGGGGCTGAGTCTGTGGGCCCATTTGGCCAAGCTGGATTCTGTGTACCGAGTACACAGGTATGACTGGGATCCTGTGTACCGAGTACATGACCCTGGTGTGTACCAAGTAGTCACCCTTGGGCGCACCCTCTGGGGCTAGGGGTTGGCAAGATGTGGGAGCTTCCTTCCCACCCCACGTCCCTCACTTCACTGCATTCCAGATGGAACTTGTCCTATAGCTTTGCTGGGGGAAGGGCCCTTCTGCCTCAGAGAGCCCACTCCCAGATAGTCTCCCCTCCCTAGAGCCTGGGCCACCGCCCTTTGGGAACTTGGGGGTGGGTGGTGGGAACATGAGGATTAGGGGAGTTTCGTGCATTTCACTTTGTCTCCCTGAACACGTGGGACTGCAAGATGGGAAGGAGCTGCCTGAGAGGCACCTCTCCTGGTCCTCCCCTCACCCAGTCCCATGGCAGAATATAAGTATTTTTAGGCTATTTTTGTAATATGGCTTCTGATCACGATTTCTATGTAGCTAAGTTCCCAGGCCTTGCGTTGTACAGCCCCCCCCCCCCATTCTCCTCACCACCTAATAAAGGAATAGTTAACACTCAGTATCATTGATCTGTGTCTAGATAAGGTGGGGAGTGATAGTGATGGATCTTCTGTCTCTCCAAGGCTAACAAGCTGCCATCTTAGGTTAAACCCATTTAGCTTGCCTATCCACTTGTGTTTCTTCTTCTTCTCCTTCTTCTTCTCCTTCTTCTTCTCCTTCTTCTTCTTCTTCTTCTTCTTCTTCTTCTTCTTCTTCTTCTTCTTCTTCTTCAAAAAATATATTTTATTGATTTTTTACAGAGAGAAAGGGAGAGAGATAGAGAGCTAGAAATGTCAATGAGAGAGAATCATCGATCAGCTGCCTCCTGCACCCCCCCCACCAGGGATGTGCCCGCAACCAAGGTACATGCCCTTGACCGGAATCGAAGCTGGGACCTTCCAGTCCGCAGACCGACGCTCTACCACTGAGCCAAACTGGTTTCGGCTGTTTCTTCTTCTTTTGGCAGATGATTCCACTGATTGGATCAGGGGTGGTCACTTGACCTATGATGATTCAATCATAGATTTGCTTAGAAACATTTTTAATGGAAATGCTAAGAAAGCTGGTGGAGCTTTTAAGGTCACCAGCAGATTAATAAATATGGGTGGCCAGTTTGGAGTGGTAAGTACTTCTGCAAACAGCAGAAGAATGGAGCTAGTATGTAGGGAGAATCAGAGAAAAGTGCTCCAATGGTTCTAGAGTTGGAAGGAGTGTCTTATTTCAGAAGTATCAATTTCAGTTAATTGAGTATTCATTCCATTGACATCACAGTTATTTATTTATTTTTTCATTGCCTTCTAAGTGCCTGATGCTAGTTTTGCATGAAAGTCACCTCTACTTTATGTTTCCTTGGGGTATGGAGATGATATTGCATCTATGTAATAAGTACTCTTTTACATACACCAGCTTGGGTGGGTTTTTATGTCTTGCAACCAATTGTACTCCAAGAAAAGGTTGTGTTCACATAGGGGCTCCTCCGGGAAAAGATGATGGGTTAATGTTAATTGGTTCCCCTGTCACTTGGAGTGCTCTTGGTTGCATGTGACACAAAAATTAACCCAGCTGGTTTAAGCAAACAAACAAACAAAATGATTGGCTCAAGTAACTAATAAGGACCAGCTTCAGGAGAGATCTGATCTAGTGACAGAAATGAGGGCTGAATTTCTCTTCATCTCTACAGATTTTTCTCTAGGCATCAGTATCATCCTCAGGCTCCACATGGTACCCAATTCAACTTTTCTTTCCATTCTCACAGCTATAGCCTTCCTTCTGTGTTAGCAAAATAAGTACAAAGATCATTAACCATATGGTACTTTCCAGAGACCTGAGAAGCTTCTAGACTTGGAGTGGATTTTGTATTGACTCCAGTTGGGTCATGTGCCAATCCTCTTACTGACAGTTCCTCAATGCTGGCATTATTGATGCCTGGGGCAAGGTCATTCTTTATCCTGTGCATTGTAGGATGTTTAATGGCATCCCTGGCTCCAACCCACTAGATGTCCCTTTTCTATCGTGACAACCAAAAATGTCTCCAGGTCTTGCCAGTTATCCTCTGGTGATGGTGGTTGGAGGTTTGCTTTTCAGCACTGCTGCTCTACTCAGTAATTATGGTAATGGGATAAGGGATGTGCTGATTTTTTATAAAGTATTCTTTATATATATTTTATTGATTTTTTTACAGAGAGGAAGGGAGAAGGATAGAGAGTTAGAAACATCGATGAGCCAAAACCGGTTTGGCTCAGTGGATAGAGCGTCGGACTGCGGACTGAAAGGTCCCAAGTTCAATTCCAGTCAAGGGCATGTACCTTGGCTGCAGGCACATCCCCAGTAGGAGGTGTGCAAGAGGCAACATATTGATGTTTCTATCTCTCTATCCCTCTCTCTTCCTCTCTGTAAAAAATAAATAAAAAGATATTAAAAAAAGAAAAAGAAAAAGAAAGAAACATCGATGAGAGAGAAACTTCGATCAGCTGTCTCCTGCACACCCCCTACTGGGGATGTGCCCACAACCAAGGTACATGTTCTTGACTTGAATCGAACCTGGGACCTTTCAGTCCGCAGGCTGACGCTCTATCCACTGAGCCAAACCGGGTAGGGCTGGATGTGCTGATTTTTTAGAGCAATCAATCTGTGCTCTGGAACTGGGGATGGGGTAAGTTGAGGGGCCATCAGGTTTGCAGAAGCAGGAATTTTGTGGAAGCAACTACTAAATACTCCATGCTGTTTCCCAGAGGTTTCCAGTGGGCATGCATCCCAGCTACCACATGGGTAAGTTGCCTAATAGCATATGCTCTATTAGCTCCTTTTCCTGTCTTTTCTCATTATTCCACATCCTTGCTTGTATTTTCTAGCGTCACCTCCAAAGTAAACTTACTTCTACTCAAATCCTTGTCTCAGGATCACTTCTGGAGAGGGGCTGGGGGCAAATATGACAGGGGTTGTTGATATAGGGCAGGAGTTTGCAAAATTATGAGACTCATGTCCTGTCATGAAGTTTAATTCATGAAGTTAAATTTCTCAGCCAGAACTCCTGTGCTCATTGCAGCACTATTCACATTAGTCAAAATACAGAAACAACCTAATGTCAGTCTGTGGCTGAATGGCTAACGATGTGTGTGTATCTTCTTTGTGCTGGAGATGTGTCTTTCAGCAGGGCTAGGAGTTTGCCAGGAGGCTAAGAGGAGGGGAAAAGAAATAGCATAGGGAGGGGCAAAATGGTGTGATACAGCATGGAAATCTCAGAGGAAGGGTCAGCAATTCGGAATGGCTGGGTCTACACTGAGTGGCCAGGTTATTATGATCTCTGGACACATAATAATCTGGCTACTCAGTGTGTGTGTGGGTATATATATATATATATATACACACACACTAGAGGTCCAGGTAAATGAATTCGTGCATGGGTGGGGTCCAGTCAGCCTGGCCAAGGTGAGGGAACATGGGCAGTTGAACTCCTGATGGAGGAGACAATTTGCATATTAGCCTTTTATTATATAGGATATACACCGAGTGGCCAGATTACTATGCGTTCAGAGATCATAATAACCTGACCACTCAGTGTATGCCTCACTTTCTTACTTGTTAATTTAATAAACGAATGTGTGATGGTTTACATGGAGCCATGGATGGATTTGGAACTGGAGAAGGTACCAGGGGCCAGATCAGAAGGGTCTTAAATGTGAAGATGGGGAATTTTAAACTTTACTCTGAGAGCAATGCGAAGCCACGGAAGGCCCCTGAGTAGAGTGGGAACACAGCCAGGGCTCCTGTTCTGGTGGCCGGTGCAGAGGGCAGACGGGAGGAAGGTGACGCTGCAAACTCTTCCAACAGGTGGGCATGCTGTAGCCTGAGTTTGGGTGGGGCTGAGGGGTTGGGAACTTGGGGAAGGGAGAGTAGAGAAGATTTGGCAACTAATTCTAAAAAGAACAGGGAGAGGGCTCGAGGGGCTGTGGGCCACTCTGAGGAGCTGAGCCTGGGGAACATTTTATAACAACATCAAGTGATCCACATCTTCCTACCCTCCTTTAGGGCAGGGCTGAAGGTGCGTTTTCCTCAGGGTAGCAGCTTTGCCTTGCAGGGTGGGCACTGACAGGCCCCGGGGTGGAGAGAGCATTTGTGACAGCCACCCACAACAAGAAATCATCATTAGTCCTTTCCCATTTTTTGCCAGAAGAGCCCGGGGGCCGGAGAAGTGGGCCCAGGGGTCTCCAGTTTCCAGGAGGGAATAAAACCCCGTAGGGTCTCCCCAGCCTGAGCCCTGGGAGGCTTGTTAGTGGCTGGGGCCCCTGAGACAGCCGCTCTAGGGATCCCCTGTATAACAGGACCCAGGTCCTCAGTCCCTCCCCTCTTAGGCGGCAAGCCGTGATGCAGGCAGGAAGCTCCCGTGGCCATGGTGAGTATGAATTCGGGGCCTTGGCCGGGCTGGAGAAGGCGCCCAAGCCCATCCCTGGCTCATGTGCGGTCTGAGCACGTGGGGGTACCAACCGCACACACGCGTGCCCTGCAAGCAGCAGGCACACACATGCACGCCTATATCCTGGAGCTTCCTAGGCGTGCATGCACACATACTCGTTGAGTTATTCAGCAGCGAGGGCTTAAATAGCCTTTTATTATATGGGCTATACACGGAGTGGCCAGATTACTATGCGTTCAGGGATCATCATAATCTGGCCACTCCGTGTATGCCTCACTTTCTTAACTTGTGGTTAATTTAATAAACAGATGTGTGTTCGTTTGCATGGAGCAATGGATGGATTTGGAACTGGAGAAGGTACCAGGGGCCAGATCAGAAGGGTCTTAAATGTGAAGATGGGGAATTTTTTACTTTACTCTGAGGGCACTGGTGGGAAAGGGGCTCCTGCGTCCAGGGCAGCTTCCTGAGGAGAAGGAAGAGGAAGAGGAAAGACTCCAGACCCTGTGCGTTCCTCATCCCTTACCCTCGCGTGGCAGTGCCACGGGCTTGCCCCCGAGCTCAGTACCCACTGCCTCGCGCCAACTCTCCCACCAAGCCAGCAGCTGGCCTGGGGATCTCGCCATAGGTGGGCTTTTCATCGGTCCCAGGTATGCAAATAAGGAACTTTCTGATCCTGTAACCTGACTTCCTTTTGGCCACTCACCTGTCCCGATCTGGACACTCTGAGGCAAACTGCAAGTCTCAGGTTCCCAGGTGTTGCAGGGTTCCATCTCAGCCCCAGCCAGGAAGCCCCCATCTCCCTTCTCTCTGCGGCGTGTGCAGGGCACTGGCACTCTGCCACCCGCCTCTGAGACCAGGGCGGTCCGGGGCCTGGCCGGCCGTGTGAGTCCACCCTGTGAGGTGTGTGTCTGCGTCTGGCATTCCCAGGGCTGGCCAGAGTCTCCTCTGACCTCCGGCTGGCTGGACTCCACCCCATCCTCCTGTGGCAGCTCTGCCAGCTCCCACGCACCGCTTCTCTCACACCCACGCCTTGTCAGAAGATCCAGGGGGCTCCACCCGCACCGTCTGTCCATAAGCGGCCATCTCTCAGCACCTCCCTGGTCCAGCCCTCGTCCTTCCCACTCACGTTCCCCAAACGCTGGCCAGAGGGCACCCGGGAGCACCCGCGTTAGGCCACGTCCCTCCTCTGCTCAGAGTCCTCCTGGCTCCCACGTCACCGGGTGTGGAAGCTGAAGTCTCACTGTGACCCACAGGACCCTGTGAAACATGCTCTCATTGCCTCCCCCCCTCACTTCCTCCTTCTGCCCCTCTCTTCCTCCTTCTGCCCCTCTCTTCCTCCTTCTGCCCCTCACTTCCTCCTTCTGCCCCTCACTTCCTCCTTCTGCCCCTCACTTCCTCCTTCTGCCCCTCTCTTCCTCCTTGCTGCTCCTGTTCCAGGCACAGTCCAGCCCCAGGGCCTTGGCACTGGCTGCGGCCTCTACCTAGGACACTTGCTTCCCCTAGTATCCTCTTGACTCGTTTGCTCATTTCTTTTCTTTTTTTCCCCCCCTTTTTATTTTATTTTTTAATTTTTCTTTATTGATTTCAGAGAGGAAGGGAGAAGGAGAGAGACAGAAATAGCAATGATGAGAGAGAATCATCGATCAGCTGCCTTCTGCACGCCCCCCACTGGGTTACCAACCCGGGCATGTGCCCTTGGCCGGAATCGAACCTGGGACCCTTCAGTCCACAGGTTGATGTTCTATCCGCTGAGCCAAGCCGGCTAGGGCTCTCCCCCCGTACCCCACCTCCCCCTTTTAAATCTTTATTGTTGAAAGTATTACATAGGTCCGACTTTCCCTCCCGTTAACCTCTTCCAGCCCGCTCCCATCCTCCCTCCTCCCCCCGCCAAACCCTCACCCCCCTGCATTGTCTGTCCTCGGGTCATGCATGGATGCATACAAGTCCATTTTAAAAAAAATATATATTTTATTGATTTTTCACGGAGAGGAAGAGAGGGGGATAGAGAGCTAGAAACGTCGATGAGAGAGAAACATCAACCAGCTGCCTCCTGCACACCCCCTACCGGGGATGTGCCCGCAACCAAGGTACATGCCCTTGACTGGAATCGAACCCGGGACCTTTCAGCCCGCAGACTGACGCTCTACCACTGAGCCAAACCGGTTTCGGCCAAGTCCATTTCTTTCAAGTGTGAATTCAGGGCCTTGGCTTGGCTGGAGAAGCCACCTGGCCCATCCCTGGCCCTACCCAGGAGATCTGAAAATGAGGAAGGGGAAACAAGAAATTCTGAGTGACTGGACATTAAGCCTCCACAAGCCCTTTCCTGGCCATCTTATGTAACATTGCCACCCCGCTCAGACCCCTTGAGGACCCTTTGAGTACACCGCTTCTCTTTCTCGGCAGTGCTTATTGTCCCAAATGCTGTCTCCCTTACTTGGTTATCGCGTTCCTTATTTATCGCCCGGTTCACGTCTCTAGAACTTTCTGCTCCTCCAGAGCTGGGGTCTCTGCCTGCCCAGTTCCGCGGTGTCCTCAGTGCCCAGAGCAGCACCCAGCACAGAACAGGTGCTCAATGAGTGAGCGCGGAATGAAAAGCGTGCCTGCAGACTCGCAGCCCTCTGAAGTGCAGCGTCCAGCCCTAAACCAGCTTGGCTCAGTGGATAGAGCATCAGCCTGTGGACTGAAGGGTCCTGGGTTCGATTCCGGTCAAGGGCATGTACCTGGGTTGCGGGCACATCCCCAGTAGGGAGTGTGCAGGAGGCAACTGATCGATGTTTCTCTCTCATCGATGTTTCTCCCTCTCCCTCTCCCTTCCTCTGTAAAAAAAAAAAAAAAAAAAAAAAAAAAAATCAATAAAATATATTTTAAAAATAAATAAATAAAACGCAGCCTCCGGCGACACACTCCTGGCTTTGGATCCTGGCACAACAATGGTGAGAATTAGAGATTGCCCCACATGTGCTCCGCTTCCTCAGCCGGGCAAAGCCGAGAACGACCATCCTGTCTCTCCTTGCCAGGAGTCTGAGGCCAAAGGGTTTGTAGCATTGTTCAGGGCATCTTACGAACTGTTCTCTGAGAGCTCACAGATCAGTCTCCACTTTCACAGACGGGGCTCCCAGGGCCCAAACCAGCTGTCCAAGGTCACACTGCCCTCGGAAGTGCAGGCACCGACTTTCAAACGTAGGCCTGTCTGATTCCAGAGCCCCATTCGGTTGTCCTTGCAGGTAGCAGAAGGGCTGTTTTGAGCATAGAATTTCTGCTTCACATCTTGGGATTTTTGTCAGGGAGTGACTTCCTAGCCTTTGCAGGCATGCGAGTAGAAGGTGGATAACTGTGGTAGAAGAGACTCCTTCACTGTGTGCCTAAGAAGGCCTGACCTATTCCCGTAGGCCATCCACAGGTCATTAGGAAGGTATGTTTCTCAACGTGAGGAGTTAGAACATATCTCACTTAACTGTTTGTTAACTTCAAATAGTCAGTCATACGGCGTATGAGCCTTCATTGGAATTCCACAGATATTCGGGTGGGGGAAAGATGGGCCTGGGTGTTCATTTTTCCCCCTTCTTTTTAAAATGAAAGTATAATTGACGTATTAGTTTCGGGTATGCAACATAAAGATTTGTTGTGCGTATATATTGCAACAAGAGCACCTCGATAAGTCTAGTTAACATCCGTCATCACTCACAGTTACAGAACTTTTCCTGGTGATGAGGACATTTAAGATCTACTCTCTTAGCAACTTTAAGACACAATGCAGCATCATTAACTACAGTCACCATGCTGTGCATTACCTCCCCGATGCTTATTTAGAACCGGAAGCTTTCATTTTCTTCTTAATGGTTTGTAAGAGCTAAACACTTGTTTTGGATCACAATGCTTTCTAGTTTGTGGTTTGCCTGCACATTTGTTTCAATTTAACAATGTTTAATGACATTCAGGAATTATATATATATATATATTTTTTTTAAAATATATTTTATTGATTTTGCACAGAGAGGAAAGGAGAGAGATAGAGAGTCAGAAACATCGATGAGAGAGAGTCATCGATCAGCCGCCTCCTGCACAACCCCCACTGGGGATATGCCTGCAACCAAGCTACATGCCCTTGACCAGAATTGAACCTGGGACCCTTCAGTCCCCAAACCGACGCTCTATCCACTGAGCCAAACCGGTTTCGGCAGGAATTATATATTTTTGAGAGTCAGATCCAAATACTTCTTTCTCTGTGAAGAGTTCTAGGCAACTGAGTTTCTATCATGCTCTCTCTATAAGGGCTTTGATGTGCTCCCTGGGATTAATGCACATCGAAGGGCCCCTTTCAGACACGCACTCTGGCATCTTTGCCCAGTGTGCCGTTTCTTAGACCTGCATTTCCTAAGCAGAGTCTGAGAGTCTTGGTTTTAGACTTTCACTTGGCTTTAGTTTCTGAGCATTTCAAGTCAGGCTTTCCGTTTTTTATAGCATGAATCCTTCAGAGGACCTCGTTGGAGTTTTCCCAAGCTGAATATTCTTTTAGTTCTACTTGTGCTAGATCTGGAGCTGGCAAACTACAGTCTGAGGGCCAAATCCGGCCCCCTGCCTATCTTGAAAATAAAGTTTTATTGAAACACAGCCATGCCCTGGCCGCTGTGGCTCTGTTGATTAGGCGTCATCCCATGCACCAGAAGGTCGCTGGTTCAATTCCTGGTCAGGACCCATACCTGGGTTGTGGGCTTGATTCCTGGTGGGGGCCATGCAGGAGGCAGCTGATTGATATTGCTCTCTCACATCAATGTTTCTCCTTCTCTCCCCCTCTCTTTCTAAAAATCAATGAAATATCTTTAAAAAGAATAAGGAACACAGCCATGACACTTGTTTATATGTATCTGTGGCGGCTTCTACACTAGAATGGCAGAATCGAGCAGTTAAGACAGAGCTCAGATAGCCCACAAAGCCTAAATAGTCACCTCCTCTCTCTTTCCAGAACATGTATGCACTTTGTGCTTGATCAACATGGCTGCCTGCTGCCTGCTAACTGGCTTTTCTTTCTTCATGGAAAACATGGCATCCCTCCCTCATTACCTGTTTGCTTCTGTTAAGTTCTCTGATGGTCCTGACTTGTCTGATCTTCATAACCAGGATATCTCTGGACTTGACCAAGCACATGTTTTGGTTGGTTTTCTCCATATAACTTCAGAACTAAAATCTATAATTGACTTTTGCAGAATTAAACTTGCAGCAAACTTTCAGGACAGTTAGATGGCCATTATCAATTTCTCTGGCCCCATTGCTGTGGGTGAGCATTTTCAGGGGCGCACTTTGTTCTCTTCTTATAAGGCTCACTGGTTTGCAGATCACCCCAAGAGCCACTAGATGGCGGGTAAATCAGGACTGTGCTCTCTGCGGACCCCACCTTCTTATCTGAGTTGTTTGAGGATCTCCAGGCTGAACTACTATTGATAGTATGTTTATCTCTCAACCAGTTAACTCTGAATAAGCAGGGAAAGATTGCATTGGGGCCATTTCCCTTAAAGCAGAGTCCTATGTCTCAACTGAGTGAAACATACCCTCAAAAACACTCTAATATCGCCCTAACTGGTTTGGCTCAGTGGATAGAGTGTTTGGCCTGTGGATTGAAGGGTCCCAGGTTTGATTTCGGTCAAGAACATTTACCTTGGTTGCAGGCACATCCCTAGTAGGGGATGTGCTGGAGGCAGCTGATCGATGTCTCTCTCTCATCGGTGTTTCTAACTCTCTATCCCTCTCCCTTCCTCTCTATAAAAAAAAATCAATAAAATATATTAAAAAAAACACAAAAAAAAAACACACACTCTAATATAGATTACTGTACCTTTTTTTTCTGAGGTAGAGAGTAATCGATGATAACCATTCAATATTCTACTGATGTCTCATAATCTGGATTAAAATGGCCAATTATTTCAGAGTTACGTTCCATTTAATGAACACAGATGTGTCCATGGGGCACAATGCCTGGGGCCTGCTATACGATTATGGGTCCTGTGATGTTGTTTAAATTTCTTTTAAGATCAGAAGAAATAAATGCAGGTTTAGGATGGAAGCACGGATTCACCTTTACACCAATGCAGCCCTACAGCATAAACAATTAAAAAGTAAAAAGACATGTAGACAATGACAGTGTTTCAAGCTTTGCCTTTCTCTGTGATTTGAACTGTGGCAGACACAATAGTAAATGCTTGGCCCACACCCCCTTGGCTTTTATTTCCTTGAATTCTCTGCACATGTTGGCAAATTGGAAGTGCTGGGAGATGAATGTCTCCTGGTAGAAGCTCTCAAGCGATGGCAAACCAGGAGTTGCTGGGTAAACACCCGGTTTCCTCACTGTCCCGAAGGGTTCCTCAGGTGGGATTAAATTCTAGTCGCCAGAGGTAATTTCCTTGACAACGAGTCTTTGTTCTCTCTCTCTCGCTCCCCCAGTCTCCTGCCTATGGTTTAGAGCACATGTGTCAAACACAAGGCCCGAGGGCCAAATCCGTCCCGCCAGGCCTTGCAATGTGGCCCATACCGCGCTGTCATCACTGCACTCCGCTGCGTTTCCATCACAATGACAGTTTATGACTGTACAGTAAACCATTCGGCCCGCGATTTAGGCTGGATTTTAGATTTTGGCCTCTTCTCTGATTGAGTTTGACACCCCTAGTTTAGAGGATGATGGTCCAAATAAACTATGAATCCTTGCCTCAGGACCTGTTTCTAGGGGACTCAGATTAAGGCACTGGTGTTCTTACCACCTCTCCCTAACCCCAATATAAGTATCTATTCCTTATAGATTTTTGTGATTTTCTTTTTTTCTTTTCTTTTTTTAAATCTTTTTTTTATTGTTTGAAGGATTACAAATAGTAGTACATATGTCTCCTTCCCCCCTCCTTGATCTCCCCCTAGCCTCCCATAACGCCCCCCTCCCCCCATATGCCTTCACCTACTCCCCTCTCCGTGTCTTGTATCCATTGGTTATGTTTATACGCATGCATACAAGTCCTTCGGTTGATCTCTTACACCCCCCTTAGCCCCCAACCTCCCTTGCCTTCCCGCTATAGTTTGACAGTCTGTTCAATGGTTCTTTATCTCTATAACTATTTTCCCCCCATTTCTTTTTTCTTTCTTTTTTTTTAAATCTTGCAACTGCAGACTAGAAATAAACATATGTTCTTTTTGTTTTTAAAAATTGAAATGTATTTGCCCGGTCGGCGTGGCTCAGTGGTTGAGTTTTGACCTATGAACCAGGAGGTCACGGTTTGATTCCTGGTCCGGGCATATGCCCAGGGTTGCAGGCTGGATTCGATCAATGATTCTCTTTCATCATTTATGTTTCTATCTCGCTTTTCCTCTCCCTTCCTCTCTGAAATAAAAGAAAATATATTTTTTTAAAATGGAAATGTATTTGACATGTAATATTGTATAAGTTTAAGGTGTAGAACATGCTAATGAGATACATTCATATGCTGTAATATAGTTGCCATGGTAGCAATAATTAGCACATCCGTCCTGTCACAAAATTATCATTTCTTTTGTGTGGTGGGAAGAGTTAAGATCTGGTCTCTTAGAAAGTTAGATAATTAAATACAATATTGTTGTCTATATTCACTTTTCTGTGCCTTAGATCTCTAGGACTTATTTGTCTCCTTGTTGAAAGTTTATATCCTTTTTAAAAATTTAATATATTTTATTGATTTTTTACAGAGAGGAAGAGAGAGGGATAGAGAGTCAGAAACACGGGTGAGAGAGAAACATCAATCAGCTGCTTCCTGCATGGCCCCCCCCCCCCCCCCCACACACACTGGGGATGTGCCCGCAACCCAGGTACATGCCCTTGACCGCAATCGAACTTGGGACCTTCCAGTCCGCAGGCTGACGCTCTATCCACTGAGCCAAACCAGTTTCGGCGAAAGTTTATATCCTTAAACAATATTTCTCCTCTTCCTCCACCCTCCAGCCCCTGGCCACCGCCATTTCATTCTGTTTTTATGAAAGTTTAACTCTTTCGGATTCCACATGTGTGTGAGATTAAATGGCATTTGTCCTTTTCTGTTTGACTTATTTCCCTTAGAATAATGCCCTGAAGGTCTGCTCATGTTGTTGCAAATGGCAGGATTTCAGTCTTTTTTTTGTGCCTAAATAATATTTCCTTGCATATGTCACCACGTCTCCGTTATCCACTTATCTGTGGAGGAGCACGTAGGCTGTTCCCACATCTACGATTTTCTTCTTACTAAAGACACACTTGCTAGCTGGATCATATTAGGAAAACAAGTGCCATCATTTCTTTTTCCCCCCATCACCCTCTCCACCTCCACCACACCTCCCTCCACCACCCTGCTGTCTGTGTGACCCCATTTCGGGGGTCTCTCTCTTTCCTTTTCCTTTTTTATTTTTAAAAAATATATTTTATTTGACTTTTTTACAGAGAGGAAGAGAGAGGGCTAGAGAGCTAGAAACATCGATGAGAGAGAAACATCCACCAGCTGCCTCCTGCACACCCTGGGGATGTGCCTGCAACCAATGTACTTGCCCTTGACCGGAATCGAACCTGGGACCTTTCAGTCCCAGACCTCCGCTCTATCCCCTGAGCCAGACTGGTTTCGGCTCTCTTTTTTTCCTTTTTGCCAAACAAGGACGCGCGTAGCCAGCCTAGCCAGCCGACCCTCCCTAACTTGCTCTGTTGCGTTTGCCTCCGCCCTCTCTTCCCAGGCTCCTAAGAAGCAGTGGGACAACGCCACCTGGCTGGTGACCGAGTTTGTGCTGGTGGGTTTCTCCGACCTCCCCCACCTGCGGGCCACCCTCTTCGCGCTCTTCTTCCTCATGTACCTGGTCACCCTGAGCGGCAATGTCACCATCATCGCCATCATCCAGGCGGACCGGACCCTGCACACGCCCATGTACCGCTTCCTGGCGGCGCTGTCCCTCTCGGAGACCTGCTACACGCTGGTCACCATCCCCAACATGCTGGCCCGCCTGCTCACGGACAGCCAGGCCCTCTCCATCGCCGGCTGCCGGGCCCAGATGTTCTTCTTCCTGGGGCTGGGCTGCAGCCACTGCTTCCTCCTGACCCTCATGGGCTACGACCGCTACGCGGCCATCTGCCACCCGCTGCGGTACCCGCTGCTCATGAGGCCCCGCGTGTGCCTGGGCCTGGGCGCCCTGGTGTTCGGCGCCGGCTTCTCGGTGGCCCTGGCGGAGACCTGCATCGTCTTCTCGGCGCCCTTCTGCGGCGGCGGCCGCGTGGAGCACTTCTTCTGCGACCTGGCGCCGGTGCTGGCGCTCAGCTGCGCCGGCCGGGGCGCGGGCCGGGCGCTGGCCCTCTTCTTCCTCAGCGTGCTGGTGGTGCTGGCCTCCTTCCTGCTCATCCTGCTGTCCTACGCGCTCATCCTGGCCGCGCTGCTGCGGATGCCCTCGGCCGCCGGCCGGCGCAAGGCCTTCTCCACCTGCGCCGCGCACCTCACCGTGGTGGCCGTGCACTTCGGCTGCGCCTCCCTCGTCTACCTGCGCCCCGCGTCCCCGGGGGACCCCGCCCGCGACCGCCTGGTGGCCGTCTTCTACACGGTGGTGACGCCGCTGCTGAACCCCGTGGTGTACACGCTGCGCAACCGGGAGGTGCGGGAGGCGCTGCGGAGGGCGCTGGCGCGCGGCCGCGGGGTGTGCGCGTAGACACGGGCTCTCCGGTTGTGCGGGGTCGGTGCGGCCCTGCCTGGGGTTCAGTTTCTCCGCCTGGAAAACGGGGGCCAGCTCCCAGACAGAACCCTAAATGAAATAGTCTGCTCCAGCCGGTTTGGCTCAGTGGATAGAGCATCGGCGTTTGGACTGAAAGGTCCCAGGTTCGATTCCGGTCAAGGGCATGCACCTTGGTTGTGGGCACATCCTCAGTGGGGGTGTGTGCAGGAGGCAGCTGATGGATGTTTCTCTCTCATTGATGTTTCTAATCTCTATCCCTTTCTCTTCCCCTCTGTAAAACATCAAAATATATTAAAAACAAAAAGAATGGGGAACGCTCCCAGAATCCTAAATGAGATAGTCTGCTCCAGACTGTGTGGCGCATGGATAGGGCTTGGGCCTGCGGACTTAGGAGTTCCGGTTCGGTTCCAGTCAAGGACATATGCCCCAGCTGCCCAGGAGGGGGCGTGCAGGAGGAAGCCAATCAGTGATTCTCTTTCATCAAGGATGTTTCTGTCTGTTCCTCTCCCTTGCTCTCTGAAATCAATAAAAATATATTTTAGCTGAAACCGGTTTGGCTCAGTGGATAGAGCGTTGGTCTGGGGACTGAAGGGTCCCAGGTTCGATTCTGGTCAAGGGCATGTGTCTTGGTTGTGGGCGCATCCCCGGTGGGGGATGTGCAGGAGGCAGCTGGTCGATGTTTCTAGCTCTCTATCCCTCTACCTTCCTCTTTGTAAAAAAAAAAAAAAAAAAATCAATAAACTATTAAAAAAATATATCCTTGGGCGAGAATTACAATTTTTTTTCTGATCTATGAGAAATAAATAATCAAACCATAGTAAAAAATTTTAATAGAAGTGTGGGAAACACACAGAAATCTCTGCATCTTGCCATTGATAAGTTCTGTTAGGCAGGCATCCTGACTGTTTCCTTCCCTCGCTATGAATGAGGTCTTTGTTTACTGTCCTCTGTGACCCTTGGCTCTGACCTCTGGGAGGCTCCTCACTGTCCTCTGTCCCCCACGGCTACTTCGGCAGCTTTTGCACCTTGTTTCCTGTTGGTCCAACTTGGAGGGCCTCATGGTTCAACCTTGGGACATGGTTTGATAAGCCAAGTAGTCAGAGAGTGTTCCATTCCTCTCGGAATTGTAGTAAGCATCCCATCTTGTTTCCATGCAGCTCCATGTGCAAGCAACCACAGCCAAACATTTCCTCTGATAAAGTTACCTTCTCTTTCAATTTTAAAAACTGTGGTAAAATACGCACAACATAAAATTGACCATTTTGCCCTGGCCAGTGTTGTTCAGTGGGTTGGGCATTGTCCCATGCACCAAAAGGTTGCTGGTTCAAATCTTAGTCAGGACGCATTGCCTGGGTTTTGGGCTTGGATCCCCAGTAGGGGGTGTGCAGGAGGCAGGCAGTTGATGTTTCTCTCTCACATGGAAGTTTTTCTCTTCTTCTCCCCATTTCTCTCTCTCTCTCTCTCTCTCTCTCTCTCTCTCTCTCTCTCTCAAGAAAACCAATACAATTTTTGACCATCTTAAGCATTTTATTTTTTATTTTTTTAAAATATATTTTTATTGATTTTTTTACAGAAGGAAGAGAGAGGGATAGAGAGTTAGAAACATCGATGAGAGAGTCATCGATCAGTTGCCTCTTGCACACCCCCTACTGGAGATGTGCCCGTACATGCCCTTGACCTGAATCGAACCCGGGACCTTTCAGTCCGAAGGCCGGCGCTCTATCCACTGAGCCAAACCGGTTTCGGCCATCTTAACCATTTTAAGTGTACGGTTCAGTGTCATTAAATACACTCACATGGTTGAGCAATGACCATCCATCTTCAGAACTTACTTACCTTGTAAAACGGAAACTCTGTCTCCATTAAACCCTAACTCCCCCTTCTCCCTCCTCAGGCACTGATAACCATTAATCTACTGTCTGCCTTTGTGATTTTAAATGCTTTAAGTACCTCATGGAAGTGGAATCATTCCGTATTTGTCTTTTTGTGACTGCCTTATTTCACTTAGCATCATGTCCTCAAGGTTCATCCATCTGACATAGTCCTCCCACCTGAATGCTGCCCTCCTTCCTTTCCTGACCTCTATGCTTGGACCTGGGTGCTGAGAAAGGCACACTATCTTGCTATAATTGCCCCCCTCAGAGCCACCTTTGTATTATTGCTTCCCCGTGAGTCCCAGATCACCAGACTTAGTCAATTTAAATTGTAGCCTGCATGAAGGGAGACTACCTTAATATGATTACAGTCCCTTCCATCTCTGCTTGCCCAGGCCACCTCTCTCTCTCTCTCTAAACAGAGTCAAGAAGTTGCAAACACACAAATAGTGTGGCTGCTCCCAACCACTTGCCGGAGGGCTACAGACTCAATAGAAGATACACTGATTCGCCAGATTATTATGATCTCTGAATGCATAATAATCTGGCCACTCAGTGTCTATCCTACATAATAAAAGGCTAATAATAAAAGGCTAATTGTCCCCTGGACCAGGATTTTGACCAGCAGGCAGGCCGGCCAACCACCCATGTCCCCTTCCCCTGGCCAGGCTGACCGGACCCCCACCCATGCAAGAATTCATGCACAGGGGCCTCTAACACACACACACACACACACACACACACACACACACACACACAGAGTGGTCAGATTATTATGTGTTCAGAGATCATACTAATCTGGCCACTCAGTGTAATCTGTCATGGAAGACATTGTGTAGATCACTGGCTTTCCACCTGTATCTGTGTCGTTCATCACGACCTCATTGCTAAGTAAAATCCTCATAGTCCTAGAACACCACTTCTGGCACTTGTTACTGCAGAACCAACTTCTGGTATTCACTTTTATGTAGTTTTTGTACAGTGTGAGCTGCTATGACAAAGAGACCCTGAAACACAGTGGCTGAAAATAGAGAGATATTATGTTTTCCTCATGTAACCACAGTCTAGAGGTGTGTGGTTCAGGGCTGGTAAAGTGGCTCCGCTTTAATTAAATCATGGCTTCCATCGCTGGGTTCAAAGTAACTCCTTTAGTTCCAACCATCGTATCTATATCCCAGGCTATAGGAAACAGCGTAGGGCTCAAAGGGGCATACACCCCTCCCTTTTAAGGGCTGTGAGCATGGTGGTTAGCACGTCCATTCATATCCCACAAGTCCAGCAACTGCTCATCTGTACTCCCTCACGGCGGTTTTGTCACTTGGAGAATGTCATAGCAATGGAATCATATAGTGTGTAACTTTTTTGTTGTTAACCCTCACCACATCTATTGATTTTTAGAGAGAGTGTAAGGGAGGGGGAGAGACACACAGAGAGAAACATCACTGTGGGAGAGACACATCGATTGGTTGCCTCCCGTGGCCAGGGATTAAGCCTGCAACCATGCCCTTGACTGGAGTCAAACCTGGAACCCTTCAGTCTGCAGGACAATGCTCTATCCACTGAGCAAAATGGGCTAGGGCTGAACCTACAGGTTTTATTGCTGAATAGTGTTCAATGCTGAGGATGGACCAGTCTGTTTAACCACTCATCTGTGGAGGGACATTTTGATTTTTCTAGTTTTTGGCTATTACAAATAAGGCCCCTATAAACGACCATGTGCGTTTTGTGTGACTTAGTCTGTTCAAAATTCTCTCTGGCTTCCCAAGTAACTTAGAATAAAATCTGAAAAAGCACAAGGGGACCTGAGTGGGCCCCAAACACTACACCCTGTAAGCATTGGGAAACCATATGGTTGAAACACTGTACCCATTCTGTGTGTGTGTGTGTGTGTGTGTGTGTGTGTGCCCATTCTTGAGATGCTCTCACTATGGAAATCCAGGCAGCACTGCCTGAGTTCGCATTCTGTCTCTTTCTCTTACAAGCTATATGACCTTGGGCAAATTCCATAACCTCTGTGAGTTTCAGTTTCCTCATCTGTAAAATAGGATAATGATTATACACCTCCCTTACCCGGCTGTTGTGAGGATTAAACGATTTAACATGTCAAAAGTGCATGGAACAGCCCCTTGCACATAAGTGCTTGACAAAAGATATGTTCACTATTTCATTACTGGCTTAGGGAGTTTAATTGGGCCTAGAAGACCCTTCTAGGAAGTTTGCATTTTATCCTGTTAACTAGAGACCTGGTGGATGAAAATTTATGCACTGGAGGGAGGGTGTCCTTCAGTCCAGCCTGCCCCTTCTCACAGTCCACCATCCCTCAGGGGCATGAGGGGCGACTCAGTGATCAGGGGAAGGTGACACCCCTAACACACCTCTGCTGCTGCCACTGCTGGCAATGCAAGCCTCGACTGGCCGTTGTCACCTGAGCCTCCGGCTGGCCCTGGGCAGCTGGGGGGCTGAGGGGACTGGGGACTCCAGAGGCAGGTGTGCCTGCACCCTGGCTGGGCTGAGGGGATTGGGTGCTGCATCTTGTGGCTGTGGGTGCCACCTTCTTTGAAGGCATGGTAGTTAATTAGCATATTCCCTCTTTATTAAATAGGATTACAGATTGGGGTTGAGCTGGTGGAGAGACAGGAAGAAGAGGGGACCTGTTTGGAGACTGTTGGAATAATACAGAACAGCTCTCACAGTGATGGGGAAGAGCCTATTTAAAGTTTTTTTTTCAAGGTAAATGTTCAGGGGGACAGCAAGTGGAGATAACTCATTAGAGAAATTTTGCTAAAAAGAGGAGCAAAGGACAACAGGTAGAGAATGTGGGGCCAAAAGAGTTAAACACATTTTTTCCTTTTTCTTTTTCTCTTTTTAAAAAAACCGGTTAAATTAAAACCTAGGAATGATCCACTGACTAGATGATAAAATTAACAATGAGATCCTCAGAGGAAAAATCCCAAAAGTTGTCAAGGAAAGGGAGCCAGGGTGAAAATGGCAGGATTTGTCTCAGACCAGAAGCAGAGTACTCGGAACTAGAATTATTCTCCCTTTACTGATGGGGAGATAATTTTCCCGAGGCCAGACGGCTGGACTGCGGGTTTGAACCTTGAACCACCGTCCAGAAACTCCAAGGGCGGGGCGGGGCCAACAGCGGAGGCGGGCCTACCGGAGGGGGCGGGGCATCTGCCTTTTCCGGGTTACGATTGGCTGGTGTTAGGACGAGGGGTAGGACTTGTTTGGGAAGAGGCCCCAGAAGGTGGACTTTGGGCAGCCGCCCCGTGGCCTTCCACGACCGCCCAACCTGAAGGCACGAAAAGCGGGCTGGACTCGGAAGGCCCGAAACAAGGGCCTGCGATGTGGGGGCCAATGGAAGACCACGGAAGGTGGGCCCGAGAGGGTCTTGGCAAATGGCAGACATCGATGGGCGTGGCCTCTTGTACAGAAGGGCGCGAGGCTTGCACTGTGAACCAATGAGAAGCGAGGAAAGGCGGGGCCTGTGTACCTGGCGGCCAGTAGCGACTGAGGTCTCCGAAGCGTGGCTACGACTCTGCGCACGCGCGAGTGGCCATACTCCCGGGCGCTGCCGATCAGTTTGGGTGAAAGGGACGCGGTCGGTCGCCCGGATCACGTGACTAGGAGGTGCGCTGAACTCCTGTGAAGTCATTTCTTGTGGGTGAAGGTTGAAGTGCTCCGGAGGTTGGCGAAACCTCCTGCTGTGACCTAACCTCGGGGTTGAGGTCAGGCTGGGGCTCTGGCGCGCGCTCGGGGGCGGGGCCTGACCGGTGGGGCTCTCCACTGGGGCTGAGATTCGGCACCTCCTTGACGTACAAGGTAGGCGATTCCTGGAGACGTAGGTAAGAGGGGAAGGAAACGATTTTGAAGCCATTGTAGTTGCATGGACCTGTAGTCACCTAGTCTGGGGGTGTGTTGGCAACTTAAGGGTGGGAACCTCGCGTGGCAAGGGGCTGGGTCTGGATTCCGAGGGGCGTGGGCCGACCTGGAGGGGCGTGGCTTCCGACCAAGCTTAGCACGAAGGGGCGTGGCCAGGCAGTGACTCCGGGGGAGGGGCGTGGCCCGGGATCCGTGCTGGAGACGGGGCGTGCCTTCCTCCGGGTAATTTATCACTGCTTTCTGGCCCTGGAACTGCCCTTTCCCCCTTAGGTGTCACCGCAAGGAGATGTCCACGGCCGCCGCCGCCGCTGCGGGGAGCTTCTTCCCCTCCTTCCAGCTCCTGGTCTGCGGGTCGCTAGTGGCTGCCGTGCTGGGCGCCGCGTATCGCCTGGGGCTTTTATATCGGTTGATGCACAAGGTGCGAGGGGGCACCAATGGGAGGCGAGATGGGGGCAGCCAAAGGAAGACCTAGCCAGGCACTGTCAGGAGAGTCTTTTCAGGGCCCCACCCCATACAAGCCCTGGACTTTGCCTTGTGAGAGGTAATTGGGAAGTGACAGCTGCCAGGGCGCTCAACACTCTATCCACCTCCTTCCCCAGGGGGCTCGCGTCCTTTTCCCTGAACACGGGGGCGGTGGGGAGGGGGGTGTCATTGCTACTGCTAGGAAGGCAAGCACAGGAGAATGTGGCTGGGACATTTGGTCTCTGCTGAGCTGTGTGTTTCAGAGTGATTATCTCATGTACCCAACATGCCCCAGAATAGATGCCCTTGTTTCTGTCTGCATTCCTCAGAGAAAACTGAGGGTCAGAGAGGTTATGTGGTAGCTTGCCTCAAATGACCTCTTTGGGGGAAAAGATTGACCTGTCTCTGAACTACTTGGCACCTCCGAAATTTACTCCTTCCCCAGATTCCTTCCTCAATCTTTCCTAGCCTGGAGCAACCTGAACTTCCTCTTTTAAATATATATTTTATTGATTTTGTACAGAGAGGAAGGGAGAGAGATAGAGAGTTAGAAACATCGGTGAGAGAGAGTCATCGATCAGCTGCCTCCTGCATATCCCCTACTGGGGATATGCCCGAAACCCCTGACCGGAATCGAACCCAGGACCCCTCAGTCCCCAAGCTGACGCTCTATCCATTGAGCCAAACCGGTCCCGGTGTGAACTTCCTCTTTTAGACAGAAGCAGCACCACTGGCCTTGAGGACTTGTGGAGCTTTAAGGCAAAGGGCTGTTGGTGTTTGGGGTTGTGTGCAAGCTGGGCTGGGAGCCCGCTCCCTCTGTCAGGCATTTGATGGCTGGCAGCTTGTAAGCGGGGCCTGGCCCAGCAGTGGGAGAGAATCTGGTAGTCTGGAGTCAACAGTCAGGCTGCCAGGCCCTGATATCAGAGGGCGGGCAGTCCTGGAGTCACAGCAGATAACTCGTGCCCTGTGCTTTTGGCCACAGTTCCCTGGGTGTAATAGATCCACCTTCCCCCTCTCCCTGATTCTCCCAGCATCTCTGGCGGACCATGTAACAGAGCAGGGTGCTTAACAATGTTGATTTTAATGGGACTTTGAATCTTGCTTGGGCAAGTCTTGGTCCCCTTAGCTGTAAAAGGACATACAGTTGACCCTTGACTAACATGGGTCCTCTTATGTGCAGATATTTTTTCCCCCCAGTAAATACAGAATACAATAAATGTGCTTTTTCTTCCTTATGACTTCCTTTTTCTAAATATATTTTTATTATTTCAGAGAGGAAGAGAGAGGGAGAGAGAATCATTGACTGGCTGCCTCCTGCATACCCCACACAGGGGATCGAGTCCACAACCTGGGCTTGTGCCCTGACTGGGAATGAAACCTTGTCCTCCTGAGCCTTACCAGCTGGCTTTCCTATGATTTTCTTAATAATGTAATTTTCCCTCCCAGCTTATTTTTATTTTTATTTTTTTATTTTTTAAAAATATATATATTTTATTGATATTTTACAGAGAGGAAGAGAGAGGGATAGAGAGTTGGAAACATCGATGAGAGAGAATCATCGATCAGCTGCCTCTTGCACACCCCCTTACTGGGGATGTGCCCACAACCAAGGTACATGCCCTTGACCGGAATCGAACCCGGGACCTTTCAGTCCACAGGCTGATGCTCTATCCACTGAGCCACACCGGTTTTGGCTCCCTCCCAGCTTATTTTATTGTGAGAATGCAGCACAGCCAAAACCGGTGTGGCTCAGTGGATAGAGCGTCGGCCTGCAGGCTGAAGGGTCCCGGGTTCGATTCCAGTCAAGGGCATGTACCTTGGTTGCGGGCACATCCCCAGTAGGGGGTGTGCAAGAGGCAGCTGATCAATGACTCTCTCTCATCGATGTTCCTAACTCTCTATCCCTCTCTCTTCCTCTCTGTAAAAAAATCAATGAAATATATATTAAAAAAAATACAGCATAATATACATGTAACCTACAATATATGTGTTATTTGACTGTTTATATTATTGATAAGACTTCTGGTTAATAGACTATTAGTAGTAAAATTTTGGGGGAGTCAGAAGTTATTAATGAATTTTTGACTCTAACCCCTGTGTTGTTCAAGGGTCAACTATAATGACATGAGGGTGGTAAGATGATATGCCTTCCCCACATCCTCTGGCCCTGCTCCCTCCCTCCTTCCTAAGTGTGGGGGATCACCCCTCTTCCCACCTGCCCTGGTACCCTTGCCCTGGTTCTTGACAGTCTTCCTCTTCCGCTTCATGGGCCTAGGTGGACACGGTGAGCATCCAGCATGGTGGGGAGAGCGTGGCGGCTGTGCTGAGGGCCCATGGTGTGAAGTTCCTCTTCACACTAGTTGGTGGGCATATTTCCCCGCTGCTGGTGGCCTGCGAGAAGCTGGGCATCCGCGTGGTGGACACGCGCCATGAAGTCACAGCCGTGTTTGCTGCTGATGCTGTGGCCCGCCTGACTGGTGAGGGCAGAGCAGAGAGGGCTAGGAGCTGGGATGGGGGGCCTTTGAGAGGCAGGGTTTTCTTTGGGGGGTGGCCATAGGATGGGCCTGGATGCAGAGGGTGACAGGGTCTGTGTTCCAGGAACGGTGGGCGTGGTGGCAGTGACGGCAGGCCCTGGCCTCACCAACACAGTGACAGCAGTGAAGAATGCCCAGATAGCCCAGTCCCCAGTACTGCTTCTGGGTGGGGCCGCCAGTACCCTGCTGAAGGTACCCTGTCCTCACGAGGTGGTAGGGGCTCCAGGGCGGTCTGAAGGGCTCCTACCCCATAACTCCCTCGAACCCGTTTCCACCAGAACCGGGGTGCACTCCAGGCCATCGATCAGATGTCCTTGTTCCGGCCACTCTGCAAGTTTTGTGCTTCTGTGAACAGGGTGCGGGACATCGTGCCCACTCTGAGGACTGCAATGGCTGCTGCCCAGTCGGGCACCCCAGGTAGGTGGTAGAGGGCAGGGTAGTGGTCAGGTCCTAAGACCTGGGGATTAGGGAAGTCCAGCAAACTCAGTATCCTCCGTGCTTCCGCAGGCCCTGTGTTTGTGGAGCTGCCCATTGATGTGCTGTATCCCTACTTCATGGTCCAGAAGGAGATGGTGCCAGCCAACCCACCCAAGGGCCTCATGGGTCGAGCAGTTTATTGGTGGGTAGCCCCACTCCCACCATGACTTCCTCCCTTCTCCTGCAACCTTTTGCCAGCATTTATCCCTCTTTGAGCCATTTATTGATTTGCACATTAATGGAGAGGAACCAGTCATGGGAAGAGGATTCTAGGTGGAAGGTATAGCATATGCAAAGGTCCTAAGGCAGGAATGAACTTGGTGGGATGGGAAAGCAAGGTGGCCTGTGGCAGCAGCAGGTGAACAAAGAGGAGAGGGGGCAGGGGCTAAGTTTAGAGCAGCCAGCATGGCTTACTGGGAGTGCCTGCAGTTTTATTTTGAATTTGAGGTCCATTAAGAAGCATTGCAGGGCCTTCATCAGTGGTGTGGGTACCCTGATTCAGGCTTTTATTATGTTTCTCTGGCTGTTTGGAGAATGGACTGTGGTTGGGTGGAAGGTGGGAAGCCAGGGAGGAGGTGTGGTGATGCCCGGGATGAGAGGCGATGATGGCCTGGATCTGGGTGGCGGCTGTAGGATGCAGAGACATGGATGGGTCACTTATGAGTACCTGGAGAAAGGGACTGGAGTGGGTCCCTGCAGGCCTGTGACATGGGCACAGCTCACTCTGGGGCTTTGAGTGGCAAGTGGCTAGGATCTTGGAGAGAGCAGGGTAGTGGGGCTGGTCTGGGAGAAACTTGAAGGGTTTAAAAGAGCTAAGGAGTTTGTGGGGCACTTCCTTCAGTTGAGCAGATAAAGGGGGTAGGGGCATAGCTCAAGTGGAGGTATGTGAAAGGGTCCATTTTTGGTCACCACTAGGAGGGCCTGGCTGAAACTGCACTGGAGGAGGAAGAATCAGTTCAGCCAGCCTGATTGATGTCTAATTGTTCCCCTGCCAGCCTGTTTGCCCCCAACTTCCCTCCTCTGCCAGCCTGGTGACCCCTGCCATCCCTTGCAGGCCTGGCCGCCCCCACGTGCCCTCCCCTGCTGGCCTGGTCCCTCCTAACAGCCCTAATCTGCAGGCTTTGTTCTTCCCAACTGCCCTCCCCTGCAGGCCTGGTCTCCCACAGCTGCCTTCCCCTGTAGGCATGGTCGCCCGTACTGTCCTCCCCTGCAGGCCTGGTCGCCCCTAACTGCCTCCCCTGCAGACCTGGTTGCTCCCAACTGCCCTCCCCTGCAGGCCTGGTTGCCCCTAACTGCCCTCCACTGCTGGCCTCCTCACCCATAACTACCCTCCCCTGCCTGCCTGCCTGATCTCTCCCCCAATTGCTCTCCTCTGCTGGCCAATTTGGTTCTGATTGGTCGGTTTCTATGCCAGTCAGCATCAAAAGTTCCACCTCCTAGGCAGCCATTGGCTCCTCACAGTTCACCTGGATTTGGTTCTGATTGGTTGGTTTCTGTGCCAGTCAGTGTCCAAAGCTTTCCCTCCAAGGCAACTATTGGCATCTCACACTTCACCCAGATTTGGTTCTGATTGGTTGGTTTCTATGCCAGTCAGCATCTCTGAGCCTATCAATGGGGCCTGATCGGAAAGGCAGGGCTGATCAGCAACTCCAGTGGAGGCCTGGAGAGAAATGGAGGTGCTGGAGAGAAAGAGGCAAGTGCTGATCAACAGCTGCCACAGAGGCTTCAGATCAGACCCTGCTTCTCTCTTCAGGCCTCTCTCTGGGCCTGATTCGCAACCCCCTCAGCAGTCAGTGCTGGGTCACCACGACAACCCAACTCTGACTGACTGCAGGACTATTTCTGGTTGGTCGAGCCTCCGGTCAGGATGGACCCAGGGTTTTTATATATTAGGATAGATAATAAAAGCCTAATATGCTAAGTGTCCGGCCGTCTGGTTGTCCATTCAACCAATCAAAGTGTAATATGCTAATGATATGGTAAAGCCGCTTAATTGCTCGCTACGATATGCACTGACCACCAAGGGCAGACAGTTGACCGGTTGACCATCACTATGACATGTACTGACCACCAGGGATCAGATGCTCCAACCAGTAGGTTAGCTTGTTGCTGGGATCTGGCCAATCAGGACTGCATGAGATAGTCCAGGCATGCCCTGGAGCCCTCCTGTGGTCCCTCCTTGGCCCCAATCATGCACAGGTGGTCATGCACAGATTGGGTTCCTCAGCCTGACCTGTGCCCTCTTGCAATCCAGGACCCCTTGGGGGATGTCAGAGAGCTGGTTTTGGCCCAATGCCAGAACAACTGGTTGCTGTGATGTGCATTGACCACCAGGGGGCAGATACTCAATGTAGGAGCTTGCCCCTGGTGTCAGTGCACTCCCACAGGAGGGGGCACTGCTCAGCCAGAAGTTGGGCTTATGGCTGGTGAGCACAGCGGCAGTGGCAGGAGCCTCTCCCGCCTCTGCGGCAGTGCTAAGGATGTCCAACTGATGGCTTAGGTGGGGAGCGGGCCTAAGCTGTCAGTTGGACATCCCCCGAGAGCTCTTGGACTGTGAGAGGGCTCAGGCCAGGCTGTGGGATCTCCCTGAATGTACGAATGTTGTGCACCAAACTTCTAGTTTTAAATAAGAACAGGGCTGAATCCAGTGTCATGCCACGTGAAAGGCAAGTTGTCTCCTATCCTTCCTTCAGCATGGTTAGGGAACCAGAAGTAGAGAGTGGAGTTCAGGGGTCCTAACACATAGGAAATGGTCAGGAGTCATATCTGGGAGGCAGAAGTTTTAAGCAGTTCTGTTCTGTGGCCCTGACAGCCTCTTTGCTCCCTGGCCTCAGAGTCCCTTCCACCTCCCCTTCTCTCAGGCTTCCCTCCTCAGGTCCCTGCAAGGCTGGCTTTTGCCTTTTCATGTTGGGGGTCTCCATGGTTCCTTCTTGGTCTCTTCTTATTCTCTGCTGTCTTGACTCCAAAGAGAAACAGAAGCTTCCCGTTCCGACTGCTTCCTGTCAACACCCATGTATCTGGTTTTGGCTGGATTGGGTGTTCTTAAGGGCAGGGCTGAGCAGGATTTACCTGTGTATCTCCAGAGCCCTACATGGGCTTCATGGACAGCCAGGGCTCTGTGACCCAGTGAGTAAGGAGACAGAAGGGGATGTCAGAAGCTAGAGAAAGGCAGGCGTACTGATGATGTGAATAGCTCCACTGGCAGAGGGTTTTGCAAAGTGCTTTATATCCTGAATGGTTAGTTCACTGAACCTTGGGAGGGAGGCTTCCTTTAACATTTTACAGAGCAGTATGCTCAGAAAAGTTACGTCATTTCCCAAAGTCACACAGTTAGGAAGCGGCAGAGCCACCTCTGCCTAACCCTGTAGCTGTGGCCCTGATCCTGGCACTCCATGCCTGTGTCACTTGTTTCTGAGGGTCTGTGTCAGGTCGGAGTGGTCATCAGAAGCTTCCAAGGGGAAACTGGCTGCTAGAGACTTGATCACTGGGGTTTGTCCATGGGCCATGGCTCAACCACCCTGTGCCTGTCCAGCTTCCCCCCTGCAGCTCCTGGAACTCAGTAATGAATCCTGGTAACCACTCTTTCCTTTCCTCTTCACAGGTACTTAGAGAATTACCTGGCCAATCTCTTTGCAGGAGCCTGGGAGCCTCGGCCCGAAGGGCCCCTGCCTCTGGACATCCCCCAGGCATCCCCCCAGCAGGTAAATTGTCTCTCCTTCCTGGCCGAGGACCCCACCTGGCAGGACAGCCTCTCCCTGAGTCAGTATTGGGACTTTGATCTTGGGGGCTAATGGTGACTCAGGGTCGGCTCTTTGAGCTCCACCTCCTTGCCCCAGGTTCAGCGCTGTGTGGAGATCTTGAGTCGGGCCAAAAGGCCCCTTGTGGTGCTGGGGAGCCAGGCCCTACTGCCCCCGACACCTGCCAGCAAGCTTCGGTGAGAAGCCTCAGCCCTGCCTTTACCATCACATTCCTGGCCCCTGGTCCCCTGGTGCCTTGTGGGGACTGGCAGGCCTGTGGCCACACTCACTCCTGTTTACCTGGACCTGCAGGGCTGCTGTGGAGACTCTGGGCGTCCCCTGCTTCCTGGGCGGGATGGCACGGGGGCTGCTGGGCCAGAACCACCCCCTGCACATCCGGCAGAACCGCAGTGCCGCCCTGAAGAAGGCAGACGTCGTCCTCCTGGCAGGTGGGCTTCAGCCTGCATCCCCCCTCTTCCCTTTCCCTCACTCCAGGATCCCCTTACCCTGCGATCCTGCCCCCCTGCCCCGGCACTCACTGGCCCTACCACTTCCCCTTTCAAGGTTTTTGAATTTGAATTTCACCTGAATTCTTGCCAGGTGTAGTTGTATCTGTGACCCAGCTTTGTGCAAAGGAGGACACGCAGATAGTGGGCTCTGTGGGACTTTCTGCACAGCATTTGCATTTGTACACGTCAGACAGCATTTACACTTTATACAGCGTGTACACAGACGGCATATACATTCCCACATAAAGTGCTTTGAAGTCTGCCAGACACACAATACTTGTATCACTTAGCTATTACTGTGTAATACCATTCCAAAATTCAGTGGCTTAGAATGCAATTATTATTTCTCAAGACCCGCCAACAGGTAAGGTGGTCGTTTTTCTGGTTTCGGCAGGGCTCATTCAGGAGTCTGCGGTTGGGGAGGCAGGAGGGCAGCTGTGCCGATCTAGGGTGGGCTGGCTCCGATACTGGGGGATTGGCTGGGGCTGTAGCTGGGTTGGTGTGGCCTCAGCTAGGATTCTGAGTTCTCACTCTTCTCTGCCTCCTTCTCCATGTTCCTCATCGTCCAGCAGGCCGGCTTGGGCTGGTTCATTTGTCGGAGGATGAGAAACATGTAGGGCGGGGGGAGCAAGGTTATTTAAAGGAGAGCGTGGACGCTGCAAGGCTCATGGAAGCCTGGTCTCAGGCACGCATGCCGGCACTCCTGACACATCCTGCTGGTCAGAGCACACCCCGAGCCAGCCCAGGGCTAAGGGCTGGGGAGCTGGGTCCATGGAGAGGTGAAGAACAGGTACTCCTTTATATTCAGTCTGCTGCGGTGGATTAAATTAGGTAGTGGGCCTCCCCCAGGCACTGGCCCTCCGTCCACGGTTCCCGTCTCCCACCCTAGGAGTTGTGTGTGACTTCCGTCTGTCCTATGGCCGTGTCCTCAGCCGAAGCAGCAAGATCATCATTGTCAACCGTAACCGGAAAGAGATGTTGATCAACTCAGACATGTTCTGGAAGCCCCAGGAAGCCGTGCAGGGTGAGCTCCTAACGCCCCACCCATGTGCTCCTGGGCCCTCTCCTGGCCTCTGCTGTGGCTGGCTCGAGCTGGGTTCTGGGTTCTGGACCTTGTCAGAGGGAGCACCCGGCCAGCCAGAGCCATAGATTCGGCTTTCGGATTGATGAGTGCTTCTGGGTGAACACATGGTGGGTGTGCACCAGAAAGGAGGCCTGGGAATGTGCATGTGGTCGTGTCCCCGGCTGCAAATCCTCTCCCGCTGCTGTTAGACAGAGAGCTCACTCCTTGGCCCCTGAGGTCTGTCATCCTGTCATAACCTCAACCCCTGATCAGTCCTCTCCCCTGGCTTTTGTGTCCTGCTTTACCCATCGTTGAAGGACATTGACTTCCCTGCAGTGTTGGTGACAGGGAACTCTGCTAAGCAGAGAAGGGGCAGTTCATTCATGTCTGGGAAGGCCCACTGTAGCAGTTGGGTGGGCAGCAAGTTGGAGGCCAGATGGTGGCAAGGGGCCTGTTAAACTGGGTCAGGACAGAAATAACAAAGCCTGGATCGAGGATGGACAGGGAAAGAGAAACTCAACTTCTCTGCGCCTCGAGGTGATTATTTCCGAATGCAGATGATGAAAAGCACACCACCACCAGCTCGTGTGTCTGCTAACAAGCACTGTGTGCGTCCGGGTTGTAGAGAGGTACCTGGCAGATGGGGGTGTTTTCAGTGAGATCTCTCAGAGGAAGAACTGAAAGGACCGAATGATCTGGGGTGTGATGGGGAGGCTGGCGATGAGGTTGGCTTGGGTTTCTAATCCACTTTGTCCTCCCTAAATCTTGTTTCTCCAGCCTTGCCCTCCCTCTCATCCTGGCTGCCCTAATCTGGTTCCCAGTATGTTTTCCCCGGTTTGCTCAAGGAGTGCCCTGGCCTGCTCCTTGCCTCCTGTTCCAATGCTGCTGCTGGCTTCCTGTTGGCTTGGGCCTCCTGTGCTGGAAGGGCAGGAGGAGGCCACCTCTGTGCAGCTGTGCCCTCTTCCTTCCCCAGGAGACGTGGGCTCCTTTGTGTTGAAGCTGGTGGAGGGCCTCCAGGGCCAGACCTGGGCCTCAGACTGGGCAGAGGAGCTGCGGCAAGCCGACCAGCAGAAGGAGAAGTCCTTCCGGTGGGGGCAGGTGGACATGGAGGGTGGTGGGTTCCCAGCAAGATGTGCTCCCGGTCCTGCTGACCTGCATGATCCATTGCAGGGAGAAGGCAACGATGCCTGTATCCCAACACCTGAACCCGGTGCGGGTGCTGCAGCTGGTGGAAGAAACTTTGCCTGACAATTCGATTCTGGTGGTCGATGGTGGGGACTTTGTGGGCACCGCTGCCCACCTGGTGCAGCCCCGTGGCCCCCTGTGCTGGCTCGATCCTGGTAAGGAAGGGCCTACGCCTGGGGCAGCTTGCACCATCCAGTCCCCTTCACAACCACATGCTCTTGGTTCTCCTAGGGGCCTTCGGGACTCTGGGGGTTGGTGCAGGATTTGCACTTGGGGCCAAACTGTGCCGGCCAGATGCTGAGGTGAGTCAGAGCCTGAAGGCAGGAGGCTTGCTGTTGTTTCGGACCGTGAACAACCCCAACTATGTCCTGTCCCACCTCAGGTCTGGTGCCTCTTTGGGGATGGAGCTTTCGGGTACAGCCTCATCGAATTTGACACCTTTGTCAGACACAAGGTAACCGGCTGTCCCCGGTGAAGCCTGAGGTTCTGGGAGATGTCCTCAGGGCGGGCTAGGCTGGGGAGGGGGTTGCTTCTGGCTGGCCAAGCCTGGGGCTGAATATTGTGGCCTGGCCTCATTCTCTCCCTGCAGATCCCAGTGATGGCCTTGATAGGGAATGATGCTGGCTGGACCCAGATTTCTCGGGAGCAGGTGCCCTCTTTGGGCAGCAATGTGGCCTGTGGCCTGGCCTACGCTGGTGAGGGGCCTGGCCTCGGGGAGGCTGTTCCTGGCTCGGCTGGGTGTGTCCTCCTCTCTTGGGCTGCCTGCATGGGCTGATCCCTGCCACCATCTGACTTGATCTCCCTTTTTAGATTATCACAAAGCAGCCATGGGTCTGGGGGCCCAGGGCTTGCTGCTCTCACGGGAGAATGAGGATCAGGTGGTGAAGGTGCTTCGTGATGCCCAGCAGCAGTGCCGAGATGGCCACCCAGTCGTCATCAATATCCTCATTGGGAGGACAGACTTCCGCGAGGGCTCCATTGCTGTGTAGTGCCTCGTGGGTGCCTTCCCACACCTGGACTGCTTAGCTGGTCTGGAGTGTCTGCCTTGCCTGCTCTGGGCTATCCCATGGGGCTCAGTGACCCCATAGTCCTCCCTGAGGTCAGGGAGGGGCTGGCAGGGTCAGGGTTCAGAGGCCCCCTGGAAGTACAGGAGAGCGCTGGGGCCTTTTATGCCCTTTCTCTCTCTCTCTTTATTCCTCTTACACACTGAATAAACCACCTCTGGTCCACGGGGGCCCACATACTCATCCCAGAACCTGTGCATATGGATTTATTGTTCACAAAGTTGGAAGTGAGGGGAAGAGGGGTAGGCAGAAGGGGACCCTACTCTCCCCCTGGAACTCTGGGTCCCACTGGGCACCAGTACCGGGGAGTTCAGGGTACTCAGCGTTGTGAACCCTTTCCCCACTCTGTGGTCCCTGAAAGAGCCCCACACGTCTGCTCCAGACGTGTCCATGCACACTCATCCTCACACACACACCGACACACACACGGAGGCAATAAATATGTTCCGTACCAAAGTGCCCCAGCCTGACACTCCAGGCGGGGCCCCTCCAAAAGGGAGGTCTTCTAAGTGCTCAATTTCAAGGACGCTGAGGAAGAGTTGGGGAGGGGAAGGGCCAAACTCTACGATCTCAGTATGCTGGTTTGAGGCACTTGTGGGGTTTTCCCTGGGAGAGAGTGGGGAAACCTGTTTTTCTATAAGCCCAGGCTGCCCTATCCAGCTGGAGCCCAGGTAGGAGCTGCTCTTGACCCCACCCCAAACGCCTCCTCATAGTCCTTGGGCCCTCCCAAAGGGAGGGAGAAGCAGAGTGCAATGCTCAAAGCTAATACTGATTTGGTTGGCAGCAGCAAGAGGATTGACTGGGGGGTGTCTCACCATCCCAGGGTGATGCTCACATTAACTGGTGTTGTCCTGGCCAAGGGGAGGCAAGAGAGGCCAGCCCAGCAAGGGGGAGATGCTCTCGGTACTCAGAAAAGATGGCCACCACAGCTGGTCCCCAAATCTTCAGCCTTTGCAACCAGTACCCAAATAATTTAGCACTGGAAGAGAGACATGAAATCTCAGCATCTGCTGGCTGGTCGCTAGGCAACTCCCCAGCAATCAGGAGCTAGGCCTGAAAGACAGGTCTGGTCCCTTTCTATCTTACGGGCACTGGCTTAGCAACCAGGAGCCTGGCCCGTCCCTTAGTAACTGGGGTCCCGCCCCACCCTGCTCAGAGGCATACATTGATCTGCTTGGAAAGTTCTCTCTCTAAGTCCAGGATGAGGGCATCAAAGTCTTTGAGGTTCAGGTGCGGGTTGAAGGGCGCTTCGAAGTCATCCTCGAAGTCTGCAGCGCCCGCCGGCTCCCCTGCCTCCTCGTCTTCGCTGTCGCTGCCCGTCACGCGGTCGTAGTCGGGCCCGGAGAGGAAGTCCCGCCCACAGGGCAGAAAGTCCCTCCCGCAAACGCTCCAGTCGCCGGCGTAGCGGTTACTCGGGGGGCTCTCGGGGCCGCCCCGACCGCGGGGCCGAGTCACTACTTCCGGGGCCACCAGTGGCAAGTGCAGGGGCGGCTGCTGTTTGGGCCGCAAGTCCGGCGCGAGGTCCGTGGCCTCTGGGGACCTGCGGGGATCTGCGGAGGGAGAGGGAGGGCTTGGGATGACGTTACGTAGCAGCAGCAGCCAGGTCTCCTATTGGCTGTTTAGGTAACCAGCCAGATCGCGATCTCTCTTGATTGGCATGTTAAAAAAGCAGCGCCAAGCCTGGATTGGCTGGATCTGAGCTGGTTGCTGAGGCAACCAGGCAACCAGGTTTACTCTGATGAGGAGGCGTGGCTTACTTGAAGCACGAGAATCTGATTGGCTGCTAGAGAAAGCATTCCGGCAGCAGCATGGCTAGGATTGGCGGCGTGGGCTGGGGGCGGACTCACCTGGCCAGGCCTGCAGCAGGTAGTGCAGCACTTCGATGTGTCGCTTGAAGTCCACGGTGTTGGTGAGGCCCGGGCCAGAGCTGCGGCTGCGGGCCCTGCCGGGGTCCTGGCGCGCTGGCAGCAGCACGGGGCCGAAGCACACAGCCAGGTTCTGCGCGGTCATGCGGTTGTGGGTGTGGAAGGAAGAGACCAGGCGCAGGTGGTCCAGGAGGAGCGTCAGCGTGGCCTGAGGAAAGAGGGTTGGGAGGGCATGAGGGGCCTAAAGCGCTCGGAATGGGAAAACAGGTTCAAAGTCTCACAGCTGGGAGATGACAGAGCTAAGACTTAACCATCAGGTATTAGTATTATGATCCCATTTTGCTGGAGGGGAGACCAAAGGTCACAGCTTTGGAATGCCAAAGCTTGGACTTGAACCCATTTCTCTCTGTGTTAGGCTGGGTTGATATTAATCCCATTTTATAGATGAGGGTATTGAGGCACAGAGAGGGTTTGGACTTGTCCAGGATCCTGTAGCCAGGAACTCCCTTGTGCATTTTTTTATATAACCTGGCGGTACAACCGTGGGTAACTCACTCAACCGCTTTGGATCTCACTTTCCACTTTTATGAAATGGGGATACCAAAAGCTCCTACTTAATGATGCCACAAGCTCCTGGCCATTACTGGCTCAGGCACGGGTGAAACGTTCTACTAATGTCAGCCCACTCCTTGTCCTACCCCCTCCCACCCATGCCCAACTCACCCTCTCGACATCTGGCAGGCAGCTGAGGAGCCCACGGGTACCCTCAGCGCTGGGGGGAGCCCTGCTGGGGGGCCCTCGGGCCATGGCTTCCAGCACCACTTGATAGAGGGGCTGGGTGATGAGTGGTGTGGGCAACTCCCGAAGATAATCCTTGAGGATGCCTGTGGACACAGGGCCCACTCTGGTCAGGGCAACCCTGGCTTCTGGAGGGGTCAGCTGGGGCTGAGAGGAGGGAAGAGGAGGGGAACAGGTGCAGGAAGGTGAAAACAAGGTCATACAGAAGAGGTGAGGTCCCAGAAGGGCCACAGGGACTGCCATGAGGTAGGTGAGGGTTGAATGAGGAGCAGGCAGGGGAGGGGAAGAGGCATGCTGACCAGTGACGACATTGATATCGGGGTACAGGTCTTCAGAGAGGCAGACTGCTGCGCTGTCCCGCTCGAAGGCATCCCGAAGCTCTTTCTTCACAGCTGCTGAGCCGCACAGACGGTAGAGCCCCACTACCTAGGGGTGGGAGCAGAGACGGAGTGCCTGTTTGCTGGGGGTACAGATGGATCAGGGTGGGGTGGGGTCTGAGTTCTGGGCCAGGGTAGCAGTAGGCTGAGAAGTTGGGGGCTACCTGTAGCCTCATTGGCTGCCTTCCTGCTCCTCTGACACCTGTCCTGGGGCCCCTACCTGGCTGCCTGGCCAATCTGGATCTGTTAACCCTCTGCTTCTATCACTTGTCCTGGTACCCACATCCTTTGGCTCAGGAACCTCTGACTGCTTTTCAGTTCACTTGTCACCTCCTCTAGGATGTCTTCCCTGACTACCCAGCAGGTGAGGTCCTGCTCTAAGCTTTCCCAGCTTCTTCAGTCTTATCGCAGCCACAGAGTTGAGATATTTGTACGTTATTATTGGAGTCATGCCTTTTGAGCTCCAGAAGGGCTGGGATCCGGTGTCACTAATTGGGTGGATGACCCACAGGTTTAGGGCTGAGTGCCATAGGGGGACCTTCTGCCCTTGTCTAGGCTGGGGTTGGAGCTAGGAGTAACCCAGGCAGGGTCGGGAAGTCCTTGCCTCAGGATATAGGGCGTCCTGGGGAATGGATCTGGGGTCTGGGGGCTCACCCGCAGCCCTCGGCGCTCGATCTGCCCAACACACTTCTGAATGATGAGGGGCACCTGGCCCGGGGGCTGCTCCCGCTCCACCAGCAGCCGCAGGGGCAGCCCAAAGACGCGGGGCTCAGCTGCGTTGGGTGCTTCCCGCTGCTCCGACAGGGTCAGCTTGGCGTACAGCAGCCCCTGAGGCTCCAGGCGCACAGCCAGCTGCTGGGCCTGGCACCCTGAAGACACAAAGGGACGTGGGTGGGGTCTGCGCTCCTAGACTCCTGCGCCCTGGCCTCCTCCTCCAAGCCACACCCCCACCCTGGGCTTAGTGTCCTGGGCGCCCTGGGAGAAGTGCTGAATCCTGTACCTTGCCGATCCTCCCCCCCGCAGCCAGGCCTCCTACCTCGGAAAACCGTGGGCAGCAGCACGGTGCCCTGGGCACAGGGCCGGTGCCTCCGCACACACGGGTCCCACACCAGCACCAGGGCCCGCAGCAGCCGGGCGGCCTCGAGCTCCAGGTGGAAGGTGTGGTCCAGCCGCAGGAAGTCCGGCCCTCCGCGCAGCGGCCCGGTCCGGGCTCTGGCCACCCCGTCCACCTGGAGCAGGCAGCAGAGGTCTCTCGGGGTGGCCCCGGGCGCGGGCCGCAGCCCCCCCAGCCCGTACAGGTGCAGGCTGAGGCGGCCCCAGAGCGCGGCCGGGGGCGCCCGGGCCGACGGGCCCGCCTCATAGGGCTGGAAGGCGGTGGGCGACGGGGGCCCTGCTGGGCGCTCCGGGGAGTCGCCGTCACTGAGGTACCCGGCCCGCAGGCCCCGGGAGCCCCCGGCCACTGCTGCCCGCCCGGGGGCCCCCACACTGCTGTCCAGGTGGTAGCGGCTGATGACGGAGCCGGCGGGGGCGGCCCGCTCCCGCTCCCGCTCCCGGCCGGCCCGGGTGCTCCGCAGGCTCAGGCGGCGCCGCAGCTCCGGCAGCTTCTTCATCTTCATGGAGAGACGTCTGGCGGGTCCTGGGGACTTGGTGCGAGAGGCTTTGGCTACGGAGTTGGAAGGGAACAACAGAGTTCAGCAACCTGGGCTTGGCGTGGGACTCCCTGTGGTCATCTTGGGGAGCTAGGGTGGGGGTGGGGGTGGGTACCGCTGTGCTCACCTTGTGGGGCCACACCCTCTGGCTCAGCCAAGCCCGGCTGTGGCCCTGGGGTCTCGGGTGCCGGGGGCCTGGGGTCCTCCTCGGGGATGGGGTTGTACCAGATCTCGCCTGCAGGCTCCCCACTGCCAGATGCCCCAGGCCCCAGACTGGCCTCCTCTGGGGGCTTGGCCCCGCCCAGGACCCATCTTCGGCTGCTGGGCTCCAGGCTCTGCAGGTAGGCCCCCCGGGAGGGACTTCGAGATGCCTCAGGGCTGGGGGGCCCCTCCGCTCCAGCCTGGGACCCCTCGAGGGCCTGGGGCTCTGGCTCCGGAGGGCTGGGCTCCAGGCGCTGGGCTGGGTGGCCTGTTGGAGAGAAAGGGGGTCAGGCCTAGGGCCCCCCCCCCCCCCCCCCAAGAACAGCCCCGGCCCAGACTCTTCCCCCAGCAGGGGCTGGGATGTTTGTTTGGGATGGGATTGGCTGCCGGTTTAGAGTCCACCCTGTCTATGTCCCCGAGGTCCCTAATGTGCCTCTGCCTCTGGCCTCAGGGTCCTCTGGTGGGGCTCTGTGTTCCTGGCTGACTCTCCACCCTCTCGTGATCCCTGGCAGGGAGCCTCCCCCTGCCGCTCCTTTCTCACTGGGAGGCTTAGGAAAGTCACTTCCCATCTGGGAGCCCAGTGTGTGCGGTGACACGGGGGTCTGATGCTCTTTCCAGGGGCTTCAGGGAGCTGGGCTGGGCAGCACTTCCGAGGCCCCCACGTCGTGGTCGGGCACACGGCCTGCTTGCTCGGAGGACAGGAGCATGACCGCAGCACAGGGTTCTCCTTTCCCTCCTCACCCCCAAGTCTGTCTCCCAAATGCTGCCCCTCCGGGGAGGGCGCCCTCTCAGCCCAGACAGAACCCCGGTCAGTGCCTCGGCGCCTCCCTTAGCTCCCCTCTCCCCTCCGGCGTCCCGGGCTGTTTCCTGTGTGTGTTTGTGCGTGGGCACCAGTCCCATCTCTCTGCTCTGGGAATCTTTGGGAAGGGCTGGTGGGGAGGTCCGATCCCGGAGTCATCTGGTCTCCCTCCTTAACTCCTTCCTTCCTCGGACTTCCTGTCCCAGGCAGCTCCCATTTCTTTTAGGTCTCGTCTTGCTGCCTGCAGACTCCCTCCTCCCCGCACCTCCTTCTTCTACCCACAGGGCTCTCTCCCGGCGCTCTATTAGGAGCGCAGTCCAAAGAGCCGTTTCAGTCTCTTCACTGACCCTGGGCAAATGACCCAATGCCGCGGGCCTCAGTTTCCCCAGCAGTATCAAGGGGTCAGCTGCCTGGGGCTGCTGAAGGTGGATGCAGCTGCAGACGCTGCTCAATCATAGGTGGGAGGGGTGAGGGGCGCCTACTAGGATCGAGGCGCCAGGTCCCCCTCCTGCAGAAGTGCGCTCCCCATCTCCTACGTCGGGTCTGCAGGGCTCAGAGTGCCCCTAGTCCTGACTGGGCTCAGTGTCCCAGCTCCCAGCTCCTCAGCGCCTCCACTCTCCGGGCGCACCGCGTCGGCCCATTTCCTGTCAGGGGCGAGGCCCCCTCCCGGGCCTCCCAAGGAGCCCGCGGCGCTGGCATCCTGGGCCCGGCGCACATAACGGTCCCCTCCCTCTCCCCCCAGCCCGCTCCTCCCAGGACCCCTGCCCGCCCCGATCCCTCACCCCAGCCCGCAGCGCGCTCCGCCAGGCTCCCCTGTCCCCTCAGCAGCTTCTCCTTGGGCCCGGGACCCTCTCCAGGCCGGGCGGTGCTCGGCGCCCCTCCTTCGTCCCCTGTCCCGCTCACCGCGCTCCTTGGCATCCGACTTTTTCCGGGGAAGTTTCTCCCGGCCCCGCAGGCGGGAGAAGGTCTTTCTGAGCAGCGGCTCAGCCATGCTGGGGCCCCGGCCGGGCCGAGTGCGAGCCCTGGGTCCGGCCGCGCCGCCCCCCGCCCGCCCGCCCGCCCGCCCCACCCGGGCAGTCGCGCCCCGCCCGCCTCCCGCCCAGCGCCAGCAGGAAGCGCATTCCGGGAATGCTTTGCCCAAACTTTTTTTTTCCCCTTCCCGCGGCCCGAGCGAGCGATGCTGGGAGTTGTAGTCGCCCTGGCCGGGAGGGGCGAGAAGGAGGGCTCTGGGCTACCTCCTTGGGCTCCAACTCCAATATCTGTCGCGGCCCCAGTCCTCCCTCTTTCCCCCTCTCCCTTGGTGATCGCCAATTCTCTTGGTTTTATCTCCAAAACGCATCCTGCACGTGACCTTGCTACTCCCTCATATATTGTACTTCTCTAACCTGTTGCAAACTCTTCCTTAGTCTCCTGGATGCCATAGTGCCTCCCTCCTCCTCCTCCTCCTCCACCTAATTCTATCTCCTCCCCAATTCCAGTTCCTACTGCTGTTCAACAAACAATCCCCAAACTCAGTGGCATATGATGCTCACAGACCTGGTGGATCTGGAGTTGGGGCAGGGCAGAGCTGACACCGATTGCCTCTGCTCTTAGTTGGAAAGACGTTGAGGAGAATCATCTGGAGGCATGTTCACTCACAGGTCTTGCAACTGGTACCAGCTGTGGACTGGGTCACCTACCGGGGCCTCTCATCCCGGGAGGTACGCAGGCTTCTTACGCAGCCATCCAGGGCTCCAAAAGTGAACAAGGCCGTCGTGTATTACCTTTCCTGACCCACCCCCTCTCCAGTATCACACTGTGCCACTCTGGCACCAGATGCAAGGGGAAGGGACAGAGACGCCTCTCTCAGTGGGTGATGTGTCAAGGTGACCTTGTGCAAGAGGATGTGGGGTGAGAGAAATTAATGGGGTGGTTTTGGAAACTCCCCTCATCCCTACATTCCATTCTCCACACAGCACCCAGAGTGGACTTAAAAAACTGAAATCTGATCATGGAACTGTCTTCTTGTGATTGCTCACCCCACCTAGAATGAAATCCAGATCCCCATGGATAAAATCCAGTTCCGACAAAACTTCTGCCTTCATCTCCTTTGTTGCCCCCAGCACTCACCTCAGCCTCATCTCTGGGACTCCTTCCCAAACTGTCCCTGCCCCAGGCCCTTTGTACATGTATTTTCCTCTGCCTCAGAAACCTTGGTGGTTCTTTAAAAAAAAAAAAAAAAGTATTTTCATTGATTTCAGAGAGGAAGGGAGAGAGAGATAGAAACATCAATGATGAGAGAGAATAATTGACCAGCTGCCTCCTACACGCACCCCACTGGGGATCGAGCCCACAACCCGGGCATGTGCCATAACTGGGACTTGAACCATGACCTCCTAGTTCCTAGGTCGATGCTCAACTTCGGAGCCAAGCTGGCTGGGCAAAACCTTCGCTCTTCTGAAGCTGTATCTTTTGCATCTTTTAGTTTCGATGGCACTTCCTTGGGAGGCCTTCCCTGTCACGATTGCATCACTATTTCATTTCTTTGAATACTTGCTTCAGCTTAAGCTTAATAGCACCAGTAGTTCTAGTTTATCTACGTCCACCAGATGCTTGTCTGTCTATTTCACTGCTGAATGTTCAGGTAGGAGATCAGGTGCCAGGTGATGGAGTTTTGGACAAGATGGGTGGCTAGAAGGCCTGGACAGAGAAAGTGTGTTTGCTTCTGGTGTCTCAATGTAGATCTATGTGTTTATTCTACTTAGTGATCTTTGAGCTTCTTGGATGTGTAGATTCATATCTTTCATCAACGTTGGGAAGTTTTAGGCCATTATTTCTTCAACTATTCTTTCTGCCCCTTTCTCTTCTCTCTTTCTGGGACACCCATTATGTAGCTGTTGGTATGTTGGTAGTGTCTCACAGGTCTCTTAGCTCTGTGTATTTTTCTTGGATGTGTGTGTGTTTGGGAGGAGTCAGGCTGGAGAGGGATGGGGTGCACCTCATCAGATCCCTGCCCAGAAGTCTTTGAGGTAGTTGCTGATAGTGGGGAGAGTGGCTGGGGGTAAAGCAACACCTACTTATAAGTCCAATGCAGGTGGTATAGGACTAGGGTTCCTTTGGGGTACCCAAGAACCTCAGAGGAGCTGGAGGCCAGTGTGGGGGTGTGAGCAGCCCTTGGCCACACCCATATCACATCAAATAATTAAAAAGCAGCCATATCAATATTTATTATTTTTCTTGGTAAATCTTTTGGGAGGGTTTCTGTACTTTTTCTGTTGCATTTATTTGGCTATGTAGCTCATATTTCTCACATTTGTCTCTGGTTCTTCTCAGCAATAAGGAATTCTCGATAAGTGAGAACAAATGATCTATAAACTGTATAATGAAATCATTATAAATGCTAAACTTCACACTTTGTGATATTTGTATTATTATTCATCTGGATTTTGGTAGTTGCTATTTGGATTTTAGAGTCCGTGTGTGTGTGTGTGTGTGTGTGTGTGTGTGTGTGTGTTTTCTTTTCCCCAAATGTTCTCACTGGCTGTAGACCTGAGTGCTGTGCTTATGGTAACTGGTGGATAATTCAGCCCCCAATATATACGCAGAATTTGGGAAAGAAGAAATGCAGGTAGAGGGGGTGGCCAGGTTTGAGCAGAGCTCTACACCCCTGTGGCAGACAATGAGATTTGGTGGATAAGTAAGCCAGCTCCCTCACTCCTCACGTGGGATGACTGAGGTGTATGTCCACACTGACCCCCAGAAGTCCCAATGGGATTGAGCTCCAGCTGCCAACAGTGGAAACTTACATATCAATGTACTCTACCAACTTCATTCCCTTCCCATTTTCGCTTCTTCAGCTCCCTTCCACCATTTCCTGGATCACTTCCCATGTAAACTACTTGCACTTGAATCTTTATCTCTAGGTCTCCGTTTCCTCATCAGGTCAAGGAGAGAAGACTCAGAAGAAACCAACCTACTGATGCTTTGATGTTTGCAGACTCTCAGACTTCAAAAATGAGAAAATAAACTTCCATTGTTTAAGCCACCCAGTTGGTGTGTTTTGTTATGTTAAGAAAACACCACACACATTCCAAAATCCAAATAGCAACTACCAAAATCTAGGGACCTGATACAGTGGCCAACCCTTAATGAGAACCCTGGACACCAAGACTCAGGTAAGCTTCCCTGGTTGGCAGTGCATCACACACGTAGTTGCTGGGAAAATTAAGCACTGCCACACAACTCACAGGAAAGACAACTGAAGCTTGTACCTGGTCTCTCCTGCAAAGCATCCCATATACCTTTTATGATTTTAATCCATATGCTTTCCCGGTAATAAGCTCTGACTATAATAACTTTGCTGAGTTCTGTGAGTCCTTTTAGTGTGAAGGTCTTGGGGATTTCCCACTCTGCAGGTTCATAGAAATGGTAGTGGTTCCTAAATCCTACTATGTGTACACTTGGGAGTAAGAGCTCCCCCTCCAGGACCTTGGGTGCCGGTCTTACTGAGTCCTTCTTCATGCTTTGCCAGCAGCAGCTCTGTAGCCACTTCCACCAGCTGATCTACCTTTTGCTCCCCAGAGCCCCACAGGGGGCAGGATTTGAGCGTTCCAAGCTGCAGTGTGACTTTAGCCAAGTCACCCACCTGGGAGGCCATCAGTGTCACGATGGAGAGAGGAGAGTTCAGGTGACTGGTGGGTCACTCTAAGCTGGACTGGAATCCCCCTGCTCAAATCCAGCATGTGGCCTTGTGATAGTCAGTTGCCCTCTCTGAGCTGTAGTGTTTAAATCTCCAAAGTTACTTTGAATCACCCAACAAAATCCCATATGGAGAGAAAGAAGTATTATTGTATTCTGACAATGGCTAGCATCACTCTGATCCTTCAGATTTAGGTAAAATGGGCTCAATCCCCTTTCAACCCATCACTGAGATATTGGAGAATCTCTAGATGGTTATTTTCTCACAGTTACTGCTGAGTTAAATAGTTTTACTGTGAGTTTGCTGTTCCTGCTCCTTTCCTTAATGTCACCAAGGCGACAAACTTTGCTGAAGGTTGGGTAGTAGAGAAAGAATTTACATCACATACTGCAGCAATGTAACCGTGGCATCTCTGTTCCAATCCAGCCTACCTCATTCACCTCATCTGGCATCCTACAGTCTTTATCATGCTGCCTCCTATTCATTCTTTCATTCACTCAGCAAATATGTTTTGAGTGGACACTCTACTAAGTGTGAGGGTATGGAGCTGGGCAAGGTAAACAGAATATGGTCTCACCCCCCAGTTCTCAGTCAAGTGGGGGAAATAGACATTCATCAAAGACTCACACAAATGACCTGGCTGGCTTGGCTCAGTGGTTGAGCGTCAACCTATGAACCAGAGGCTATGGTTCGATTTCTGGTCAGGGCACATGCCTGGGTTTGAGGCTTGATCCCCATTGGGGGGTGTGCAGGAGGCAGCAGATCAATGATTCTCTCTCATCACTGATGTTGCGCTCTTTCTCTCTCTCTCTCTCTCTCTCTCTCTCTCTTCTTCTGTGAAATCAATAAAAATAAAGAATCACACAAATGAATATAAAATCACTGATGTGGTGAGGAGAATGAGAGGATAGTGAGTATATCAGGGCACACGATTACCTGGGGCAGGGAGAGGGAGAGGAGAGACTTCCTTGAGGAAGTGGGGTTTGCATGGTGTTAACTTGGGGAGGATGTGAGGAAGTAGGGGCAGTATATGCAAAGGGCCTGTGGCAACTGCAGAAGATCTATTTCTGCAGTATTTTTTACTTTCTTAAAAAAAACTTACTTGGCTCAGTGGATAGAGCGTCGGCCTGTGGACTCAAGGGTCCCGGGTTCGATTCCGGTCAAGGGCATGTACATTGGTTGCGGGCACGTCCCCGGTAGGGCGTGTGCAGGAGGCAGCTGGTCAGTGTTTCTCTGTCATCAGTATTTCTAGCTTTCTATCCCTCTCCCTTCCTCTCTGTAAAAAAAAAAAAAAATCAATAAAATATATTAAAAAAAACTTTACATGTCATATTTTATCACTACATTTTGGGGGAGAAGAGCACATAGAAGGTAGATATTATTTGTGAAT